TCAACCCCTAGAGTAGATGAATAATCTGTAAGGACAAAAAAAAGATCTTGCTTTTATGCAAATACGCCATACACCATTAAAACAAAGAGAGACTGTATCTAAGAAGTCCCATACATATCAATATAATTCTTTCAAATTCTAAATTTAAAAACTATTTTCTATATGTCAGTTAATTCATTATGATCAGGGAAAATGAGACAGTTGCAAAACACTGCTACAGAAGTTGAAATAAAGCTGAATTTTGAACTAGAAAATCATGTTGAAAAATCTCAGCTATGCTCACAGGACTCACCTGGCAGAAAGGAGCATTTCTGCCACGGAATTTTGGTTTTGTGCTTAAGGTGGCTGAGTTAGGTGATTTCAAATCCCCACCTCCAAAGCTTTAAGTTTTAGAAATGCAAACACTTAGTAATAATGGCTTTAACTGTGTGGATTTAAAACTAAAACAAACCACATCAACTTTCTGATTCTGTAGAAAGCCATTAAAAGACTTTATTGATGGTTAGAGAACTGACTCATTATTCTAAAAACTGGTAAAAAGAAAGAATCGTTTATCCAGTAAGAACAATTTTTAAAGTAATAATAAAGAGTTAATAAGATAAAGCCCATCACAGAAAATTCTAGCTAATAAGAAAGAATGACAGAAGTAGAATATTACCATTTTGCAACCTGTAATAAAATAGTGGACCTAGGCAGTTATCAAAGGCTGATGGAGAATTTGACAATGAATCATATAGCAGACTAACAATACCTTTGTCAACTAATTAATCTTAATATCACAAAGAGAGACAAGCAGACATGATGTATCTTCTGACGGATGTAAACAACACCATTTATGAAATATCCTTGCCAAAATAAAAATAAAAATCAAGCCTAGGGGGCCAGTTCCATGGCCGAGTGGTTAAAGTTCTGCATACTCTGCTTCAGGGGTCTGAGTTAGCAGGTTCAGATCCTGGGCACAGACCTAGACCTACCCGACTCATCAGCCAAGCTGTGGAGCATCCCACATACCAAGTGGAGGAAGACTGGCATGGATGGTAGCTCCTCAACATCCTCAAGGATGTTTCACTTCCTCAAGTGAAAAAAAAACAAAAAGAGGAAGATTGACAACAGATGTTAGCTCAGGGTGAATATTCCTCACCAAAAAAAAGAAAAAAAAAATCAAGCCTATATCTGTGCAAGCTTCTAGATCTAACTAGCAGGAGATAAAAAGGGATAGATGAACATATTAAGCACTACCAGAGGGATGTGAGCAACGAAATCCAGAATGTGGAAAATTCTACAGAACACATAACTAGGTTTAATAAATGACAAAGGAAAATAAAAGGGAGCTGCAACTATGACAGATTAAAAGAGACTTAAGAGACATATCAGTCAAATACAGTATATGAACCTTATTTAGAGCCTGATTCAAACAAACCAACTGCATACATAAAGACAATTATGAGCTAATCTGGGAAATGTGAATCCTGATTGGCTATTTGATGATATCAAGCAAGTTAGTTAAAATTTTTTAGGCACAATAATGGAATTGTGGTTATATTTTTTTAAAAAACAGAGAAAGTCCTCATCTTTTGAAATCACATATTAAGTTATTTAGCAATGAAGTACTATGATACCTGCGATTTGCTTTAAAATAATTATGCAAAATTGGTATAAGTGAAATAGATTGGCCATATATTGACTATCGAAGCCAGGTCATGAGTACATGAGGTTATTATTCTATTCTATCTTGGTATACGTTTACAATTTTCCATAATAAAAAGTGGTAAAAAAAAAAAAAAACACTTCATTATCTTTCTGAGTAGGAAAGCAGAAAAAGAAAAACCAAACAGAGGGAATATAATAACTTCAACTACAACTAACTAAAGATAATACCGTTAATTAATATTTGGTACATATAGGATCTTATATATAGCATAATATATTTGATAATATAGCATCTTTTTTTTTATTTTTTATTTTTTTTTATTTTTCTTTTTATTGAGTTATTGATAGGTTACAATCTTGTGAAATTTCAGTTGTACATTAATGTTTGTCACTTGTGTTGTAGGTGCACCACTTCACCCTTTGTGCCCACCCCCCACCCCACCTTTCCCCTGGTATCCACTAAACTGTTCTTGGTCCATAGTTTTAAATTCCTCATATGAGTGGAGTCATACACAGATTATCTTTCTCTCGCTGGCTTATTTCACTTAACATAATTCTCTCAAGGTCCATCCATGTTATTGCAAATGGAATGATTTTGTTCTGTTTTGCAGCTGAGGAGTATTCCATTGTATATATGTACCACATCTTCTTTATCCATTCGTCTGTTGCTGGACACTTAGGTTGCTTCCACGTCTTGGCTATTGTAAACAGTGCTGCAATAAACATTGGGGTGCACAGGACTTTTGGGATTGCTGACTTCAGGCTCTTTGGATAAATACCCAGTAGTGGGATGGCTGGATGGTATGGTAGTTCTATTTTTAGTTTTTTGAGGAATCTCCATACTGTTTTCCATAGTGGCTGCACCAGTTTGCATTCCCACCAGCAGTGTATGAGGGTTCCTTTTTCTCCGCAACCTCTCCAACATTTGTTGCTATTAGTTTTAGATATTTTTGTCATTCTAACGGGTGTAAGGTGATATCTTAGCGTAGTTTTGATTTGCATTTCCCTGATGATCAGCGATGATGAACATCTTTTCATGTGCCTATTGGCCATCAGTATATCTTCTTTGGAGAAATGTCTGTTCATGTCTCCAGCCCATTTTTTGATTGGGTTGTTTGATGTTTTGTGGTTGAGTTGCGAGAGTTCTTTATATATTAAGGATATTAAGCCTTTGTCAGATATATGACTTGCAAATATTTTTTCCCAGTTAGTGGGTTGTTTTTTTGTTTCAATCCTGTTTTCATTTGCCTTGAAGAAGCTCTTTAATCTGATGAAGTCCCATTTGTTTATTCGTTCTATTCTTTCCCTTCTCTGAGAAGGCATGGTGTCTGAAAAGATCCTTTTAATACTGATGTCAAAGAGTGTACTGCCTACGTTTTCTTCCAGAAGCCTTATGGTTTCAGGTCTCACCTTTAGGTCTTTAATCCATTTTGAGTTTATTTTGGTGAATGGTGAAAAAGAATGGTCAATTTTCATTCTTTTACATGTGGCTTTCCAGTTTTCCCAGCACCATTTGTTGAAAAGACTTTCTTTTCTCCATTGTATGCCCTCAGCTCCTTTGTCAAAGATAAGCTGTCCATAGATGTGTGGTTTTATTTCTGGGCTTTCAATTCTGTTCCATTGATCTCTGCACCTGTTTTTGTACCAGTACCATGCTGTTTTGATTACTGTAGCTTTGTAGTATGTTTTGAAGTCAGGGATTGTGAATATAGCATCTTCTTGATAAGGCGAGCATAAAATTTATTTCATAAAAAGAATTGACACTGAGAAACAAAGGATTATTATGATCATTACAGCTTTTATTAGCCAGAGCTAGAAACAGAATCAAGTTCTATATGATACAAGTCTTGCATTCACAAATTTAATAATCGCAGCTTGCCTTTTCATTATAAACCCTGGAGGTCCGTGACATACCTGGTAATTAGTACTTTTGCCAAGATATAAACTTTACTCACGAGAAATGACAGTACACAGAGGAAAGCGAGGTAACAATGCGAACCTAGCAGACCACCTAACAACCACATCTCAAAGCAGTTTGTTATTTTCTGCTCCTTGATTCACGAAGTGATTAAAAAATGTTTTCCGGGTAAAAGAAAGCCAACTGCTAATTACAGTATTGAAAATAAAGAGAAGATAAAGATGGCTAAGGAGATGGCTAACTATTAGTCAAAAATCAGAAGTTTTAAGCTAAATTCTAAAGTGAAATGTTGAATTTGGCAGTAACCAATTATATGAACAAATCCATTATACACTCTACAAACAAGAAAAACAATTTATGAAAGTGCTTTTGGGATTGTTCTAATCAGTGCAAAACTTGCAATTCTGAGGAAAACTATAAGCTATAGTAGCTTCTCAAAACTGTGGATTTATGAATGTCTCGGGAGATACACACTGGGAACAAAGTTCTAACAACTGTATTTATGTTGAGTATCTCTTTCAATTACAAAGTGAGAATGTCCCATTCCTTTTCCAGTTTTATAATGAATACTGTATGGGAAAAGATACAACCTATAAAGAAATAATTTTAAACTAAAAGAATAGAAAGCAGACAGGAATAAATGAGAACTTTTAAAATATTACTTATGGTAGATTATGTTCTTGGTCTGCTATCTATCCCTTCCATTGGGGAACTAATTGTTCCCTCCAATTCCATGTGATTTGAGTAGACTGACTCTTCCAATCTGTGTCTGCACCCAGGACCTAGGCCTGGTCCATCAGAGTGTTCCATGCTACCTGGCTGAAGGACTGGTTCCGGGATAGGTATGTGAGCCAAGATGGAACACAGTCCTCACTAGGACCTTTCTGTTGGAATTTTCAGAAAACACGTTCTTTCTCTGGGGAATTAAGAGACTGAAAACCACATAAACTCGAGCTGTTCTGGCCACCTTCCCCAGTTCTAGGAAAAAGTCATCTGCAGCACCAAAGAATAAGACTAATACATGAATGAAGCAAAGCCTTGAGATAGAAAACAAAAGCAAGAACAAGAGCACATCTCAATGACATCCTTAAGAGTCATGGAAGTAGATATTCTCCAAGCTATTTCTACTCCTGGAATTTTAATTTATGTGAACTAATAATGTCCCAGTTTTGCTCACGCTAGTTTGATTTGACATTCTATCACTTAAAACTGAAAGGGTTTCCAATATACTTTTACTGTACAGAGAAAAATAACTTGTTGCCTAGTAAACTCAGTAATTATTCCAGCACACACTATCATAAAAGGCACACTTTAGATTACAGTGACTTCTTACCTTCAGAACACCTAATAAAGATACCTTCTGAATTATAGCTAGAACTCATCATGAAATACACAACATGCAACCCTGAATAAATGTGATCTGGGTACTCACACTCATCCAGCCCCAGCTGATAGGCCAAGTTCTGTAGGCCTCGTACCTTCTCCATCAAATTAGCTGTGGTGAGGCTCCCCAGTTCTGAAACAGAGTCATTTATTTCAATACCATTTCTTTCCACTGTTCTCTAGCAACAACTCATTTGGGCTGGGAATCCTTGTTATAAAAGTTTTCAAGCTTAATTCCTAGCAAATACGTAGAAAATGCATCCACATCTCTTCTCATCCAATCATTCCCTCTATACACACACACACAGACACACACCCACCCCAGTGGATTTATCCCACTACTGCAAAATGCCTCAGATGAGCTTACCCACTTAATGAGAAGAGAGTTAGTATAGACAAAATAGTAAATTATGTGTTTTATCCTAAGGATCTTTTTATAACATTTACTTTGCCTATCATACAAAATAAATACACCATTAAAATATGAAACTTTGTGATTTGACATAGCATTGAGAAAGCCCACAGACACATCTCTGTCTTGCAAAATGGACACTGTCTCCACTATCATTTACAAAACAGCAACTACTTACTGCTCCCCATTTCCCTAAGTCCAGAAAGCAAAGACTAAATATTAATCCAAACTTTCCCTTCAAATCAAATTCCTCTAAGACTTTTTAAGTTTATCAGATAAAAAGTATACTTAAAATAAAAACTTATTTTCCAGATTTTCATTTGAATAGCACTCATTCCTTTTAGGTTTAAGACACAAGTCAATTTGCTTGGAAAATAATACTAGGATCCTTATTAAAAATTTAAAAGTTTCCTTAGAAAGTACATACTGATGGGATATTATATAAATGTCTATTTGGAACATTAGAACAATGAACCTGAGATGCCCTTGAGACTTAATTTTTCCATGGTTGGTGGAGGGGATCTGCATTTAAGCATTTCATACAGAACAATGAACTACTTCTGAAATCAGATGAAGATGTTACTTTCTCCCACTTATCATGCCACATTCATTATCCATATCAGGCATACGCAGACTTTCTTGATCTGTTCAGCTGCTTAAATAGTTCAAGAATCCCAGATTTTTACCTTAATTTCAGTCTATTACTTCACAACCATCATGAATCTTATCACCAGAAGGATGATAAAAAATTAAATGAAGTAGAGCAAAATCAAGGAAAATTAATGTTTTTTAATTTAAATTTCCACTTTGTGGTTGAGTTCCGAGTCATTTATCAAACAACAATATTCACTACTTACAGTATTCTTTATGGGAGAAATTGATGGGACAGAAAGAAAGAAAAGACAGGTCTTAACCCACTAAGAGTTTGTCAATTAATAGTACTGACAACAATATATGGCAGTAAATCCTAAATAAGGCACTTGTATTACAGTGGCAAGAGACTAGACTTAAAAGATCAGAGTTTAAATTTTAACTCTTTCTAATAAATCTTGGTTAAGTTAATCTCTAAACTTCAGATATCATCATACCTAATTCACAGGATCTTTATGAGAATCAAATGAGAAAATTTATGTGAGAGCTTTTTGTTAACTATAAGCATTATACAAAATAAAGTTAATATTTTAAGGGAATTTAGCAGCAGAAGAAATCATCATGACTGAGTCTTAAATTGGCAGGACTTCTACACGTGGAGAAGTAGAGAAAGGCATTTAGATATGAAGAACTATGAATAAGTATGGTTACGTAGGCAGTCTGGTTGCAACCAAGAATACTTTTAAGGGAATAGTGAGAGAAAAGTTGGAAAGGTGGTTTGGGGAAGAGCATAAACATCAGGTTAAAAGAGGCCACCAGCATTGCTTACCTTTCAACATGTCGATGTCATCACGTTCTATTTCAGCCATCCATTTGGGTGGAGAGCTGGTAATAGGCTGTCAGAACATAAGCATATATATATCCATTGAGACACATACAAAACGTGAAGAGACCCCACTCTTCCTTCTTACAGGAAAAGGAGCTTGTCACATAGCCTTCAAGTAGTTTGAAAATTTTGGCAAATTACAATTTCAAAAACCCCGATTTTCCCAGGTTCAGACATGGCCTATAAATAGTCACCTTACAAAATAATACTGCTCACCTTTTAAAGTAGGTCTCAGAGAAACGATCTTGGGAGAATTAGGTCTGACTATCATTAGTGTTTTAGGCACAAAAAGTTTAGTATAGCAGCGAAAGAAACTACTTGAAATTCAGTTCTGGTGAAAGCCTATAGCTGGACTGTTTGAAACAATCATCAATAAGTAACATTCTCTGGCAGAGGAGAAGATTCAAAGAAGAATCAAGAATAATAAAATCCTTATTTTGAATGAGAGAAGACAGTATTGATCAACATTTGAAACTACATTTTATTGTAGATATTTTACAAAATTTTAACTTTAAGTTATCTTCTCATTTCTGAAAGTGAACTTAACAAAATATGAAGGAGAGCCCATTCTTAGAATAGCTTTGGGGCAAGTTTTCAATCCTAGTTGTATACAAGAGTTATCTATGCAACTTAAAAAAAATACAAATGCCCTGGCCACACCCCAGATGTATAGATTTAGAACATCAGGAGTTGGGGAAGGGTCCAGTGGAGAGTACAGAGCAAGGGACATTACATATGTATTTTTCAAAAGCTCCACAGCTGCACACTGATGATTCTGTTGTGCAGATAGGTACAGCTGAGCAAGACTGCTTCAGCTTTGAGCCCTTTTCCTTTATTTAAAATTAACATTTACTGGGGCTGGCCCCATGGCTGAGTGGTTAAAGTTCTGCACGCTCCACGTGGCGGCCTGGGTTCACAGGTTCGGATCCTGGATGTGGACTTACTCCACTCATCAGCCATGCTGTAGAGACATCCCATACACAAAATGGAGGAAGACTGGCACAGATGTTAGCTCAGGCTAATCTTCCTCACCAAAAAAATTAAAATTAACATTTGCTTGCCACTATGTGACAAGTAAAACACTTTAAATGTATCATGTCATTTACTTTCCAAATCAACCCTGTGACACAGGTATTATTATCCTCATTTTACAAATGAAAAAAACCAAAGTAGAGGAAGATAATAAATCACCTGCCTCAGGTCACACAGCTAGTGCTACCAGGATTCAAAACCCACGAAGCCTGAGTTCAGAAACTACTACTCCATACTGCCTCCTGTAGAAGGCTGTAGGTCAAACTCACCATTTCTACCCCCAGTAGGGAAACAGACTATACCAGGGACTCTTAACCTAGGGTCCTAAGATGGCCCTCAACCCACAGAAACAAAACTCATAATGATATGTATGTGCACACTTCTAGGAAAAAGGTGTAAATATTTAATCAGATTTTTAAGAAACATTATACTCAAAGTTTTTTTTAAAAATACTTATTTATATTTACAACTTAAAATACTTAGTTGTAACCAAATATAATTAACTGAAAACTAAGTATGAATGAGAATCTAAGAAAATTAATTCAGGTCCTTTTTACTCAATCTACTAGATTAAAGTTGCTATAATAATTATAATAGTGACTGTGGATTGTTTATTATGTCCTAGACACCATGCAAAGTGTTTAACATGCATTATAGCATTTTATACTAACAATCCTATGAAGTAGTTTCAGCTGAGAAAACTAAAGCTCAAAAATGTTAGGAAACTTTCTCGGGTCACAGATAGTTATGTAGCAGATTTCAGGATTCAAATCCGAGTGGGTCTGACTCTAAAGCCTAGCTACCCTGCACTCCTCATGCCGAGGCCTTATTGGATGCTAAAGCAGCACAGGCCAGTTTTCACACAATCCCAGCTCTTGAGAAAATGAAAGAAGCTACAAAATCAGACTCCCTCTGAACAAATACTCTCATGGGACCTGAAAGCCACAGGCCCAGAGGGGCCTTAATATTTAACTCAGCACCTTTAACTCTAATAATGAATAGAGAATGCTAAGTATACAGTAAGGTACTGTGAGAGTTATATTACAAATCCCCAAGGGCATGATTTAATAGAAAGAGTACGGGCTTTGGAATCAGACATACCTGTGTTCAAATCTTGGCCTATCACTCACCAGGTCTTGGGCAAGTAACTTAACTTTCAAGTTTCTCTGTTGGTGCTTTTAACATTGGGCTCAGATGCTTCTAAGCACAGTCTTTAGAGTATGGATGCTGGTAAGGAGACTAATGGGTTCAAAGCCTAGTTCTGCCACTTATAACTATATCCTTGGGAAATATACTTAACCTCTCTGGGCCTATTTCCTTGTCTGGATGATAATAGTACCTATATCTCACATGGTTTTGGGAAGATGAAATAATACATGTAAAGTGCTTATAACAATGCCTGGCATATGGTAAGCACTATGTAAGTGCTAGTTAACATTATAATCATCATATTCTCCTGGTGTGGAATATATAAGAAAATATATTTAGAGCATCAAGCACAATGCTTGGTGCCCTGGAAGTGGAAAAGCTGTGCCTCTAATGGATGTTTTCCTTTAGATTTCTGATGGGCCACTGAGAAATTTCAAAGAGCTCTAAGGAAGTATAAGCTAAGGTCTTAATGCACCAAAAAAAGGGAAAAGCCTCAAAATCATAGGTTGAGCAAAAGAATACTGGCATTACATTAAATATTTCAACTGCCTCACCTTAAAAGCTTTTAGAGCTGAGAAAAGAGGCTAACCAACAAAGGTCAAAACACCAAAATAGAGCATTTGGACAGAGGAAGACATTATCATCAATTAACATGATGATAATATAAACAGATTTCCAGGGCTACAGTTACAAATTGATTTGAAGGCCATGACATTATTCTTGAAAACAAAGAAATAAGAGATATTGGAACTTTTACCCAGGGGCAAAACATTGGATAAACTTCATTAGGTAAGAATGATACTACTTACACTTTTGAAGGAAGCTGCAAATTCAGCAACGCCTGGTACTTAAAAACAAAAAACAAACACAAACACAACATTATTCCTTCAATAAACATTTCAGTGCTCTGGACAAAGAGGATTCAGATAAGAAGAAAGCAGGGGCTGGCCCCGTGGCTGAGTGGTTAAGTTCGCGTGCTCCGCTGCAGGCGGCCCAGTGTTTCGTTGGTTCGAATCCTGGGCACGGACATGGCACTGCTCATCCAACCATGCTGAGGCAGCGTCCCACATGCCACAACTAGAAGGACCCACAACAAAGAATATACAACTATGTACTGGGGGGCTTTGGGGAGAAAAAGGAAAAAAAATCAAAAAAATCAAAAAAAAAAAAAAAAAAAGAAAGAAGAAAGCAGCCTTGTCCTCAAGGAGCTTATAGTCTGGAAGAGGAGAGAGAGTAAACCAACAGCTATAACATTTTTTAAGTGCTCCAAGAAAGATACCAGATGCTATGGGAAGACCCCCCTCGCAAAAAACAATGTAAATCTAAATCAGACTGAGGGGGCAAGAAAAGCTTCTCAGAGAAAATAATGCCTTAACTGAACTTTGAAGTATCTGGAGTGAGTTGTGAGCTGGACAAGAGGATGGTGAGATACAATAATCCTTATCAAAAAGTTTAAATTTCCTTTTTAGGTATGCTGTTCTGTCAATCCAATTGTTTATGTAAATGTCTCACAGGAAGAATCACATTAAAAATAAAAAGATAACCAGATATTTAAAAATAAAATAACGTTCAACCTCACTAATAAAAACAAAAAATGAAACAGAAAAACCTGGGGCCAATCCCAGGACCTAGTGGTTAAGTTTGTGTGCTCTGCTTCAGTGGCCCTGGGCTCGCAGCTTCAGATCCCAGGTGCAGACCTAGCACCGCTTGTCAAGCAGTGGTGGCATCCCACATAAAATAGGAAGAGTAGCACAGATGTTAGCTCAGCAACAATCTTCTTCAAGCAACAAGAGGAAGATTGGCAACAGATGTGAGCTCAGCGTCAATCTTCCTCACATACCAAAAAACCCTGTAAAAATAATAAAGATCAGTAACATCCAATATTGCCTAGTATATGAGGAAATGGGCATTCTCTTACACAGCCACCCTCTTCCATGTGCACAAAGATATACATGCAAGGACATACACTGTTAAATTGTTTGTAATATCAAAAACTAGATAGAACTTAGGTTTCCGAATAAGGCAAGAATACATAACCTATAGTATACCTATACAAGGGAATATTTTAAAAGAATGAAGTAGATCCATACCTACCAACTTGGAAAGATCCATTAATAAATGACTAGGTGGAATAAATTAAGCTGTAGACCATGTACATATGATCCCATCATTATAGTAAAAAAAAAAACAAAAACCTTCTATATACTTAAAAATATATATTTATTTGCTTATCTGCATAAGCATAGAAAAGGTCAAAATATCTATAGTAAACTATTAACAGTGGTTAACTTTGTAACAGTGATTGAAGGAGGTGAGGAAATACTTTATGTATCTCTGTATTGTTTGAACTTATTAGGTGTAGTTTTTTAAAATTATTATTTTTTAAAGGCTCCCTATCATTTCCTGAGTTACACTGTGTTCTGAGAAAATGAAACCACCAAACAGCTATTCTTAACATTGGACTACAGAATTCAGTCTCTTCCCTTCAAAGTAAAAGAAATTTTAAGGGGCTGGCCCAGTGGCATAGTGGTTAAGTTCGGGTGTCTGCTTTGGCAGGCCGGGGTTCACCGGCTTGGATCCTGGGCACGGACCTACACATTGCTCATCAAGCCATGCTGTGGTGGTGTCCCACACAGAAGAACTAGGAGAACTTACAACTATGATATACAACTAGGTACTGGGGCTTTGGGGAGCAAAAAAAAAAGAGGAAGATTGGAAACAGATGTTAGCTCAGGGCCAATCCTAAAGAAAAAAAAATTTTATTCATTACAGTTAAACGATAACTGTTCAAAAATCTCCCTCAAAGTAGCAGTAGTTCTCCTGCAACGATTCTGATATAAAGAAACCAAAAACTTACACTGTTCTGGCCAAAGGTCTGGTGAGGCACGGTCAAGTTTTTCAAAACTTAGCAAAGATGCTTCCAGATCTGTCCCTAGAAAAAAACACGCAGGTGAGCTAAGAAGACACAAAATACATTAATTTATATTTTATGACGCTTCAATCTCAAAGAACATAACAAACTGGAAGACTCACCTGGAAGTCTAGAGATTTGAGTTCTATAACTACTGATGCTACTGGGCCATATTATACAAATAAATCATTCTTCCTCATCAAACCTCACTTTTTCAATCTCTAAAATGGGAGCGATATTTTAATAGGGTATTAGGAAACATGAATACCAACAAACCCACCTGCATCTTCACTCATACTTTCCTCTAGTTACAATCAATTAACTGTCCCTGCTCTGAAAGACAAACTCCTCGGCTATGGTTCTGTATTTCATCTTCTCTTGCTTTGTCAAAAGACATCATCTTGAATCATCTCTCTTTTGCACAATCAGTTTCTACCTTCTCTACTGGCTCATACCCAACAGCAAGCAAGCCTCATCTAGAATTTCCCTTCTTTGAAAAAACTCTTCCTTGACCCCATGACCTCCTCACCCCTCCTATACTGAAAAAGTTCTTGAGTTGTCTATCCTGCTGTCTCCACTTCCTTACCTCACATTCTCTCCTTAACCCGTGACAATCAGGCTTCTGCCCCTACATGCATGGAACTGCTGTTGTCAAGGTCATCTACGACCTATGTTGCTAAGCCCAGTGGTCACGTCTCTGTTCTTTGATATGTGACCTCTTCGCAACATTCACATACTGACCACTCTCCTTGAAACACTCCACTTCCAGCTTTTATAAAACCACTATGCTGGTTTCTCTCTTACCTCACTGACTCCTTCTTTAGTCTCCTCCTCCATTCAGGCCCCATCCTGGGCTGGCTTCACTCTCCTCCTAAAGTCTCAGGAGATCTCATCTAGTCCCATAGCCTTTACCATCATTTATATGCCAATGACTCCATATTTTCATTTCCAGTTTCAATCTTTCCCCAAACTTCAGAGTTGTATACCCAAATGGCTACTTGACATCTCTCTCCATTTACATGTCTAAAAAAACCCTTAAGTCTAATATATTCAAAACCACACTCTCCCAGTAGTCTCCATCTCAAAAAAAAAAGCACCATCATGAACCCCAGTTCTTAAACCAAAAACCCAGATGTCATCCTTTATGCCTCCTTTTCCATCACCCTTCCATAACCAATCCATTAGTAAATCCACTACTTTCTATCTCCAAAATACACCTTGAAACCAATTAATCCAAGAAACCATCACTTCTCTCTTAGACTACTTCAATAGCCTCTTAACAGGTCTCCCTGCTCCCATTCTCACTCCTTCCCCACCCCACCACCACAAAGTGGCCAGAACTGATTTTTTAAAAGTGTCAATCAGTTCATGTCACTCTCCAGCTTAAAGAACTTCTTCCCAGCTAAATTCATGAAAGTACATCTACCACGCCCTATGTCTGACCACAAGCCCAGCTGTGCAAGCTGTGATGGGAAGGCATTGGAGAGACCAAAGAAAAGACATGGAGATGGTGCACGAGACACAAGCATTTATTGGGAGCTTACATCCAGGGAGTCCAGCAGCCCAGGCTATTCCCCAGGATGTAGGCCAAATCACCAGAGGCAACCAACCCACCCGGTGCTGGCATGTGGATAACACTGGACCCTTACCTCTCTCTGACAGTTGCCGGTATGCCCTTACTTGCATAGACACATCTGAGGCTGCTGCAGGCATATCCCAGCAAACAGGCCGCACAAAAGACCCACCATAAGAGGCCTAGAACACCTCTGCACTGATTATGGTGTCCCCACAGACATTGACAGTGACCAAGGTACACATTTCACTGGCCACCAGGTGCAAAGATGGGCTGATCAAATGGACATACATTGGCATTTTACAACCCCACAACCGTGGAGTTGGTGGAATGAACGAACAGCTTGCTGAAACAACAATTAAGAACAGACGACAGGACCCTAGCCCACCGGACGAGATGCCTAACAACTACAATACATCAACTGAATGAACGTGAAAGACGTACCTGACCCAGCGCATATCGGATGTTGACACACGGACTTAATATGATAGTGTGCCCATAGACAAGAGCTTACCAAGTAGAAAAGCTACAACCACAGACAGGCACTCAGAACAACTTGCTTGTGCCTCTGCCTAAGAAACTCCCTACCAGGACCCATGTGGTCACTTGGCCTGGGACTGGTGGGGCCCCACTGGTGTGGTCGCTTAGCCCCTTGGGGGACAGGCTTAGAACAGGATATCACAGTAATGCCCTTTATTGTGGGGAGACCACCCAAAACCCCCAAACTTACTAACCCAGGGCCTCCAATTCTCCAAGGCACTTTCATCCTTCCCCTCTGGTGTGTCCTTGTTCCTCCCTTATCCTATACCACTGCCCCTACGGCACCCACACCAACTGGACAAGTAGTGTGATACTGCCATCCTGGCCTGAAACCACAGGTTTGTACCATACTAACCCAAGACACTGCAACCATGTGTTTCTTGTTGGACGGTCAGGACCTCCCTGTTTTTGTTCCCTCTGAACATCTTACTTTTCATCCCTAGGACAATGTGTGCTAACCTCACCACTGATTGGGCACACACTGTTGCTAAATTACCAAATTGCTCCAACTGCTGGGTATGCAGTGAGCCGCCTCTCTCTTCGACCATGGGGTTACCATGGTGTCTCGAAGCTGCCAATGTCTGACTGGAGAGCCCTGCAAGATTGGAGGATCACCTCCCACCTTCCCATTCCTACTCCCCTCTGGCCAAGTAACCTTTCAGTGCCCTCTTACAATGCCACTCGAGATTACATCTTTCAGCTTGTGTGTAAGCAGGTTAACATAACCCTAAAGGTGGGATACTCTGTTTTTGATGGCATAGGATGGTTAATGCTGTACAAATAGAGTTAAGAGGTACCCTTTCCTGGTGTATTGAACATCAGAACAACTCTGTACCACCAAACGAAAGTACCTCAAAAGTTATGGGGTGGACACCTGAAACAATGTGTAACCAAACAATTGTTATGACTGCTGATACATGGCTAAGAAAACAAACCACCACAAAAAGAGGAGCCTATGCCACTCTGTGGGGATGGTTGTGGGCGTGTGATACTCACGGTGGGCCCTATCTTCCTTATAATTGGACTAGCAGATGCACATGCGGACACCCCTACATCCCTGCATGCATCCTGTCTTCTCTTCAACAGCTTCCTTCCAACTGGGAGGCAGTTCACACATGTCATTGTGTGTGACACACTTCAGGATGGATTTACCCCTTCACCATCTTTTCCCCACAGGCTACGGCCACTGATGTAGAATGCAAAGTGTCTGTCTTAGTCCAACGTATGGCAGCAGCCCTAAATAACACCAGACACACTGTAACACTATTAAACAAGGAAACATCCTAAATGACAAAAGTAGTTTTACAAAACAGAATGGCTCTTGACATGCTCACTGCTGTTCAGGGAGGCACTTGTGCTCCAATAAAGGTAGAACGTCATGTCTATATCCCGGACAATGCTCATAACATTTCTTCCACAACAGCCTCCTTACGTACCCATATACAGGCCATCGATGCCTTGTCTCCTGAGCTGGTCTCTGCTTGGATTCAATCCTGCCCTTCAACACAGCAGAAAGCATCCTTTGGCATTCTTGCCTTTTTATTATTGCTTGAATTTTCTTGCTGTACTCTCTACTGCTGTTGTGGTCTATGGTCGCAATGCTCCTCTATGTGTCTGGCTCAAAGGTATCCACGGAAGAATGGTGCAATAAGACTGTAAGGGCCATTTAGACACATGGGGGGTGGAGTGTAGGGCCTTGCTTGCCCAGCAATTACCTACATGCCCTATAGTAACTATGTGCCATCCTGGCCCCCTTCAAGGAAAGATGCCACCATCTGGTGTCTTAACAATCCCGGATCTGCTTATCTCAAAGAACATCACGTCTAGAAGGAACACAGAGCCCTGCTACATGAGCTACTTACTGTTCCTTGGAATGCTAGTCATGCAAGGACAGCTCTTCTTGCTAAGCACGTAGCCTTTGTTTCCCTGCCTACTTAAGCAACTGCCTCTCTGTTCTCAGGAGCAGTGCACAACCCCGTCCAGCTGGCTGCTCCTGGACTCCCTGTACATAGGTTCCCAATAAACACTTATGTCTCATACCCTGTCTCTGGGTCTTTTCTTCAGTCTCTCTGGCGCCTTCCCATCGCAGCTCACACAGCTGGGCTTGTGGTGAAACATCCTATAAAATCCTAAGTGATCCAGCCCCTGCCTAATTCTTTGACACCATTTCCTCTCCACTCTTGCCTGGGCATACAGTAGGTGCTGGATATTAATAACAACCGTCAACATTTGTTGAGTACATATTGTATGCTCAGTATGCTAGTTAGTTGCATAAATTAGTTCATTAATGATACAGACAGTAGTTGTTAACATTTTCTAGACAAGTCACATCTTTGGAAATCTGAAAAAAAAAAACCTGGACTTACTCCCCAGAAGATGTACATATGTATAAAATTTCTCAACATGCGCTTTTCTATAAACTGAATTTTCTTCTCAAATATTCTAGAAGAATTTCCAACAGCATTCTAATTGGTAAAGAACTCAACTCTAATAAATCACCTTAACTAAAGCATCCAAAAATGGTAGCAAAGGAAAGCTGTGTGTAACACAAAACGTCAATTTTCACATGCCTAAGGAATGTTACTGATGGGAAGCTCAATCATAACAAAAATAAACTTACTGGGAGCAGGATCCAATAACCAACAAGGGTGTCCTTATGATACTACAATCTGGAGCACAACTCAGACTCTGCTGTGAGTCTTACTCTTATAAAGTAAGTAATTAGATGGCTTTACTTGCTTTTAATTCTCTCCTTTTCAAATAAGTCACAGTAAATTTGGCATTAAAAAGGCAAACATGTAAATGACCCAAACTTTTTTCAAATAAACATTATTTAAATTAAATTTTAAAGACAGAGACAGGTGGAACACTAAAAATAGAAGTGAGGTAGCTAGGCAGTGGAATATTTTAGGATGAGATACTTATTTAGAAGCTGAATTTAAGTTCAAAGTGCTCCACTTGATTTTGTCAGATTAAAAAGAAAAGATTAGGTGGAGAAGGGTGAAATTCTGTGAAAGATGAGAACAAAAACTTTTAAATCAAGAGTGCAAGCAGAGTGATGGTGGAAATGGCTAGAAGATCAAAGGAAAAAATATATAATGTTTCCAATACTCTTCCTGGCCAAAGAAAGGAAAAGAAATTGAGAGAAGACAGGGAAAAATCAAACACAAGGAATATAGCTCTAAAATCTCCAAAACTGATAAATTTATCATTTTAACCATTTTTAAGTGTACAGTTCAGTGGCATTAAGTACATTCACATTGTTGTGCAACCAACATCACCATCCATTTCCAGAACTTTTCACCTTCCCAAACTGAAACTCTGTAGCCACTAAACAATAACTCCCATTCCCTTGGCTGACTTTTTAAATATCCTTTTTTTTCATGGCTATTAGCTCAGGGCCAATCTTCCTCAGCAAAAAGAGGACTGGAGGTGGATGTTAGCTCAGAGCTAATCTTCCTCAAAATAAATAAATAAATAAATAAATGCCCCTTTTTTCCGGCAAGAGAACATTTTAATAAGAGAATATCCAGGCAGGAGAAAGAATCTCTTTTGATTATCAACACCCATAATTTGTTATACAGTCTGTACCTTCACTCAAAAAACTTAAGACTCTGTTAAACATGAAACTTAAACCCAAATAATATATTATTTATGTATATATCTAATCACTCTTTCAATAAATGTTAATTGAAGGCCTATTGCTTTCCAGGCACTGTGATAAGCCCTGGGATCCAACTACGAACGACATAGACTTGGAATTTATAATCTAGTGTGAAAGGGGCAAAGTTAACAGAATAACTACGCTGACAATGAAGGTACCGGGATAATGGTGAAGGGGGCAATTCCAGATACTGAATTCTGGCAAAGCCTCTCTGGGAGGCAACATTTAAAACGAGACCTGAAACTGCAAGTGTCTACATGTTTGACTCATCTCTTCCTCTCCCCAAACACCTAATATTATGCCTTTCATATAGTATATATGCTTTCCTGGCCTCCTATTTCCTCATTCCTGAAATGAACTTCTAAGATTCCTTCCTAACACAAAACGTGTCGGTTTGAGAAGGGAAAAACTACATATCAATGAAACGGACGTGGGGATGGGGACGACAGAAGCAAAAATTGAGTTCAGAAATAGTTGCAAGACCCTAACTCTCTAAAGCAGAACCGAGAGCAAAAGAATATGGGTATACCAAAACCACTTAGTTGCCATCTGAGATGACTTGTATCTGAAGACGACACATAAGCAGAAACCGTTCATTCACTCAGCGTGAGAAAATAACAGACGCAAGAAAGGTTGAGACGTGTGCAAGACCACACTAAAAAGGTCAAATCTCATTTTCCTGGGTCTCTCATGGCGAGGGGCTGAAAAGGTCCCCCCGCTTCCCTTGCTGCCAGGGCAACGGTACCAATCTGAGGAAAGAGGAGAGAGTAATGTTTCTCTTGCGGTTCAGTCCCAGGATGAGGTCAGCCACCAATCCCAGCTGAGTTTGAGAGAATCATTTCAGATGCTCAAAGAGAAGAGAACCGACTCTTAAATGGGACGCCCCAGAAGTAGAAAGCTACAGTAAGGCACCTCCTTTCCTCCAGCAGTATCTCCTCCTAGGCCCTCAGCTTCGCCCAAATGAGGCTAAGGGAGGGCAGGGCCCGGGAATGGTCCTTTGCGGGCGCCCTCCTCCACCCACCTGGTACCCAGAGGGGAAACTGGGCACCTTCAGAGTCGCTGTGAAAAACCAGCCAGCTGAAGACAGCCGCATCCCAAAGAAAAGAACTGGAAAGGAAAGCAGAGGCGGCCGAGAAAGAAGTGTAAGTTAGAGGGGCAGACGGAGAGTGTAAGTTCCCAGGAGAGCGAAGAAGAAGGCTGTAGGCGCAGGATCTCTAAGCCGGCTCTTACCATCTGTGGGAGACGCCATCTTCCAACCCATGTCACGTGACGTGGCCAACCGTCGGCGGGAAAGCAAGGACCCGTAAGCCACGCCCCCAAAGGGAAACCCTATCCTCAACTCGCAGCCCAGTCTCGTTTCCCCGCCCCATAGGGCGATCTTCCCCTAGCCCCGCCCCCAGCGCTAGCCACGCCCCCTCGCGCTGTGGGTGAGGTGGAGCGACTGCCCTTCTTGGAGGGTCTTATTTACTTTCCTCAGTGAGGGGGTGGGGCCGCGGTCGTGCCTGTGGCCAATCGGAGTTCCCGGTTAGGGGGCGTCTTCGCGGTGTGCTCTATATAGAGTGTCCAAGTCAGGGGCGTCTTCCCAACCTCCGCCGACAGAGTTTGCCGATGTGGGAGGGGGCGCGAGCTCTTCTACTTCTGACCAATCGCATACCCCTAGGAGTGGGACTGAGGGGTGGAGTGAAGTGTTAGGGCTAGTGATTGGCTAGGGGAAAATGTCCTCTCCACCAATGAGGAGGTGCGGCAGGTTGGAGGGGCGAGGCCTGGCCGCGGTAGTTCGTCTGTGGAATCTCGGGCAGTAGAGGCGCGGGGAGGCGGAGAAGAGGTAGGCGAGAGCCATGGCGTCACTGGTGGCGGCGGCGGCAGTGCGGGCCCGGATCCTGCAGGCGAGTGAGAGTGGCACCGAAGGGTCGCAGAGCTAGGAATTGGGTCCTTTCCGTCCACTCTCTGAGCCAACCTCTTCTTGGCCGACTCCCTGTTCCCCCTCGACCTGTGCGGCCCTGTCCCACCCCTCACTCCGTGTCTGCCCTCGTTGGATCCAGCCCTGGGCTGTCACCCCTGGCCCTCCGCCCTTTTAGTCTTGAGCCTCCCGTTTTCTGGCTCTGGCCCACTCTTCTCCTCCAGCTCTGCCCCGTCCGTGCAGTCACTCTCTTGTCCTCACCTCTCTGGGTCTGCCCACCGTCTTTCCCTTTCTCCTCTGCACCAGCCACCTCTCTCCCAGAAACTCCCCATCTGGTCAGCTTTCTTAGAGCTCTTTCACCTGCCAGAAGCGTCCAGATTGGTCCCTTCCCCCACCCTACTTCACTGTCTATAATCCGAGGTAAAGAGGGGAGGAGGAGGCACGTGAGGGGCGAGGGTCGGTGAATGAACTTTGAATCTCCTTCTAGAAGGGTACACTAGGTTTTCCCCTAAAGCAGCCATTTGCTGAGCTTTTTTCCCCAGCTTTGGTACTTTTTATTTTCCACAGGCTGTAGGCTGTCCCCTTGCTTGCCAAGACTTTCAGTTAAACTTTCTCTCAGCAAAGTTACAGTGCTCATGTTGGAGGTAAACAAGGACACATAGTTATGCGGCTAGTTGGTTCCAAGCACATGCAAGGGACGAAACATCTCTAAAACAGGTGATAGAAAATGGGAGCCAAGGAAGACAAGAAATGTAAGTGCCAAGTTTCCTTCCCAAAGTCAGCTCTTCGTGTGCCCACACACCCTCAACTCTGCCCATGGTGGGGATTGGGTCCTCTCTGAACCAGCCAAAGGAGGGGTGGTAGAGCTACAGAAGCTGATGCCTGAGGCCTGCGATCTCTAACTCTGTTCGTAGCCTTTTCCCTGTTGTTCACAGCCTAACAGGGACTTCGAATATGAGGCAAGATTTACCACAGGCAACATTCTTCCACCTGCAAGAAACAACATTGCCCTTCTTATTACATCCAGCCTGGGAACTTCTTCCTCTATGTAGCTGGACTTTTAGATAATATTAGTATTTACCAGGTTTCACTGAGTTCTACTGCAGAAACATGCACTTTTAAGATTCTTAGTAGAGTCAGCAAAGGTTCGTGTTTAAATATGCTGTTTAATGAGACAGTGTGGAGAATGGGTTGGAAGGGTTTGTCAGGTGGTCTGGCTTCAGTCATATATTTCTTGCTGTGACCCTAATTCTGTGTTTCTAGTATCTTTTTTTAGAAGTACGGAAATAGAGTTTCTACGCTATATTTTTCATTGCCAACTTCTTGAAATCTTTTACTGAAATTGACTTTTTTCCTTTGCTTCTCGCCATCATAATGAGTCATTGACAGCCTTAAGAAGGTATTTTGTCCTTTGTATCAAGGAAAAGAATCTCCTTTCCCATGTACTTTATTTTGGAGACAGACACTATTTTCTGATTCATTTGAAGAAACTTCTGAATTGACCTGGAAAAAAATGGGAATAGTAATCCTTAGCCAACTGGGAGTTGCTGTAACATGACACTTTGATAAAGGGTGATGTAGATTCAGTCATGCATTTTAGAGGACTATCCAAAGGATCTGTAAAGGAGAAAGTTCTTGTTTTCAGTTATTTTAAGTATTCAGTGTATCTTCTCTGCTATGGTGGCTAGTAAGACTTACCTAAAACTTCTGCTCTTGTGATGTTACCACTCCCATTTAGAGATAAGAAAAGCAGTCTTAAAGGGTCTCAGTGACTTTCCTCAGTGATGTGGTAGAAAGAGCACAGGCTTCACAGTCATACTTGGATTCTATCCCAAGTCTACCACTTTCTAGTCGTAAGAATATTTGTGAAGATTAGAATTAATGAATATAATGAAGTGAGTTACCTGACACTTAAGGTCATCTAAGGTCTCCCAACTAGTAACTGATGGGGCTGAGGATTAGGACTTAAATCTTGTCATCTCTTTCTGTGTCAGGCACTGTCTCAAGCTTTGGGAAAGAAGAAGTAAGTAAAACACTGAAAGCTCCCCTGTTATAATGCAGTGATAAGTGCTAAACAATAGCAGTGCACAGGCTACTGCGGGAATGTAGGGAAAGAGCCCCGGAGTCAACCTGTGCAATTCGGGAAAAGCTTCCAAAGGGGTTGGCTCTGGGCTTGAGTCTTACAGGACTAACCAGCTTTTAGCCCAGGGGAGAAGGGAGTGCCTGGTAAAGGTAACAGGCAAGTACAAAATATTAACATGAAGAGAGCAGGAAGTTTGGTGTGACTGGACATAGGGTAGTTTCTCCAGCAACGGTGCTAACAAGCGTTTCTTGGGAAATGAAGAAAAGAGATCTAACTTGTCAAAAACTATATGTAATGTTTTATTAGACCAGATGCACTGCCTTTTATGCCCTCTTGACAGCAGAGAGGCTGTATACAAGTGAAAAAATAAAACAAGGTGGCCTAGAATGCTCAAGCCAGTTGATTCATGCATTTTCTGCCCTATGAGAGAGTATACATGAAACAAAATTAATATCAAACAGTTGCTTGGTGGTACTCATTCTTTCATTCTGCAAAACATTGCTGAGTGCTTACTTTATTCCAGGAATGGTTCTAGGGCTGAGGACACAACCATCTAGTGATCTGAGAGAGACTTAATGATTAAACAAGCTACCATTCCGTAATGTGATATGAGAAATAGAGGAATTCAGGTGTTTTATGAGCTCCACAATCAGGTACTTAGCCTAGACCTGAGGTTGAGACTTAAAAATTTCCAACTCTGCTACTTCCCCTCTCACTCTCAGGAGTTAATCCTATTTTTCCTACTTCAGAGGAAACAGAAACCATCAGATGAAAACTTCCTCAACTTCCTACTAGCAAACCTACAAGACTGACCTGCAGCTATGCCCAAAGTGATGGCTAAGTAGGGAGCTAAGGTGTAGGAGTGAGCCAAGCAAATGGGATTAAACAATTTTGGGCAAGAGGAAGCAGCATGTACAAGGGTAGAGAGAGACAAAACATGTTCCAAATGGCTGGAGCAAAGAGAACAAGGAGGAAAGCTATGAAACTAGAGAAGTAAAGATACTATATAGGGTCTTCTAAGCAACATCAAGATTAGTCTTTATCCCAAGGGCAGTGGAAAGTCATTGGAGGGTTGTAAACAAGGGAGTGATCTGATCAGATTTGTGTTTTAGAAAGACCCTCTGGCTATGTGGCAGAAATAGATTCAGAAGATTTAAGATTGGAGCTGGGAGACTTGTTAGGAAACCATTACTGAAGTCCGGGGGAGAGACAATGATGGTATAAACTGGGGTGATGGCAGGAAGGGTAGAGAAAAAGGGAGGTATTCCAAAAATGTCCGGGAGGACAGATGGCCAGGACTTCTTTGATTCACTGTGGAGGGACGGGGAGGAGCTGGGGTGACATTCAGCTTTCTGGTTGGGCAACTAGGTGAACAGCAGCCCCATTCACTGAAAGGTGGGCTATAGGAAGCAGAGCAGGTTGGTGGGAGGATGATGAGGAGCTCAGCTTTTTCAACATGTAGCTAAATAGCATCCAAGTAGAGATGTGGTGAAGACAGTTATGTACTTATTACCTGAAGAGGAAGATTCTGGCTAAGGACTGCAGATATGGGTATCATCAGGATCTAGGTAGTTAAGCCACGAGTTGATGAAATTATCCAAGGAAAGTATGTGAAATGAGAAGAAAAGAAGGCCTAGGACCAAGCCAGGAAGAGCTTGAACAGTTAGTGGACAGGTAGAGGACAAGAACCATCAAAGAAAGCAGAGAAGAAGTGGCTCAAGAAATAGAAGAGATACCGGGGCATCACAGAAGACAAGTGAAAAGGGGGTTCAGGAAGGGGGCCATGATTAACCATGTCACTTCTGCTGAGAGGTCAAGTATAAGGAGGACTGGGAAGAGTCCATGGGGTGTAGAAAGTCACTGGTGTTCAGTCATGAAGATTGAAATAGATGAAGAGTTAGTGGGAGATTAGGAAATAAAGTTAATTAGCATGAAGAACCTTTTGGATGGAGAGAGGTTTAAGGTACAGGAAAGAAAGGATAATTGATGGAAGTGTCAGAGGCAGCAGGAAAGGTTGACTTCAGAGCATGGGGCAGAGATTAGCCTTAGATTGGAGGACAGACACCTCTTCAGTCAGTCCACAGATACTGATTGTGCATCTCTCTCTCCCAGTCACTTTGTCCTCACAGAGCTTGCTAGCTACAGTCTCCATAAGAGGGAGGAAGGGAAAAAGGATGGGTGTATGTGCAGGTCAGTTTTGTAGGTTTGCTAGTAGGAAGATGAGGAAGTTCTCGTCTGATGGTTTCTGTTTCCTCTGAAGTAGGAAAGACAAGGCGAGCTCCTGAGAGTAAGAAGCAGAGTTGGAAGTATTAAGAGAATTGGTAAGTTTTGAAATACAAGGAGTGACAGCAAATAGTATTTATAATAATAATATAGTAATAATAACACTTAATGAGCACCAACTACTTGCTAGCTATTTTCCATATCTGAACAGTCTTGATCACAATGACTCTAAAGGAGGTGAACAAGGCAGATGTAGTGCCTACCCTCATGGAATTTACAGTCTTTGGGGTAACAGACAAGTACCCAGGCAATTACAACAGAGCCAAATAAACCTGATAGAGGAAGTATTGGCTGCTGTGGGAGTACAAAAAAGGGACACTTAACCTAGTCTGGGGTGGGGGCAGTCAGGCAATAAAGCTGCTTGCTGGACCTTTCTTTTGTTCAGTAGATTTTTATTGAACACCCACTGTGTACCAGGTTGGTATTGGAAACATGCTATAAAGAAGACATGGTGGGCTGCAGGAGAGTGTTGATGGTTTGAAATGGCTTTTGTGGGGAATGGGAAAGGAGGCAGACTAGGCATTTGGAACGATTGTCTGCTGACCCAAAGGACCAGCACCCTTTCCTCTGGACAGTGCTGCAGGCACATACATTCTTGCACTTTAAGCAGCCCTAAACCCTTGGTTAACATGGGCTCTCTTCAGACAAGGTAAAAGATTAATAGATTGCAGTTTCTTTTATATTCCAGTCCTGAGTATTCCAGTTTGCTCACTTTATTTAGACTTGAATATTTTTTAAATCAACTTCCATAGCATATATACAAACTATTTTTTTTAGAGTTATTTTACTGTAACTGATTTTCCCTCCATTTGCTGATTATACCCTATTAAGTATTACCTATGCAGCACATTCCTTTCCTATAAGGTACATATTGCATCTTTTTGAACAGCTTTATTGAGATAAAATTGACATAAACTGTATATATTTAAAGTATACAATTTGATGTTTTAATATTTGTATACACCTATGAAAACATCATCACAATCAAGATAATGTACATATCCATCACCCCCAAAAGTTTCCCTCTTACCCTCTCCTCTCTACCTCCCCCATCATCTCTAAGCAATCACTGATCTGCTTTCTGACACTACAGATTAGTTTGCATTTTCTTGTTTTTTTATAAATGGAATCATACAGTATGTACTCTTTTTATGTCTGACTTCTTTCACTCAATATAATTATTATAATTACCCATGTTGTTGCATGTATCAATAGTTCATTCCTTTTTATTGCTGAGTAGTATTCCAATGTAGGGATATACCACATTCATTTCCCTGTTCACCTATCCAGTGGTGAACATTTGGGTTGTTTCTAAGTTTGGGGCTATTACAAATAAAGCTGCTATGAACATTTGTTTTCAAGTACTTGTATGGGTATATTATACTTACGTTTGATACTTGGTTGTATACTATCTTATAGTGTTAGATACCATGCTGTTTTCATATTGTTAGATATGGGCCAAAACTTAGGAAAATATGGTCTAATGACAAAAAACATATATATATATATACACACACACACATATATATTTTTTTTGCTGAGGAAGAGTCACCCTGAGCTAACATCTGTGGCCAGTCTTCCTCTGCCATTGATGAGTGGTGTAGGTCTGCACCCAGGAACCAAACCTGGGCCACTGAAGCAGAGTGTGCCAAACTTAACCACTAGGCCACTGGGGCTGGCCCCAAAATATATATATTTTTAACTAGGACTGACCTAGAAATTGAGGACGTGATCATTATGGTTTTATTGTTTTCTCATAGTTTGCTATATCTCATAGTCTTGTATCTTTTCTCTTTAAAGACTATATGACTCTCTAGAGCAAATACCAAGTCCTTTTTCATATAGCCACAGTAACTAGGATAATGTTAAGCATGTAGTAGCCATTTGCTAATAATCTTCTGCTGTCATTTATCAAAATAATCATTCTTTTTCCTCACAGGCTTCTTCCAAGGTGAACTCCACTTGGTATCCAGCATCCTCCTTCTCTTCTTCAGTGGTGAGTTTATTTGGCACTAAAGGTTGACTTCTGAGAAGGAATTTTTGAGTATTATCATTTAATCTGTTTTATATAATAATGACTATGTCTATTATGTTGTAAGCGGTCTTTATAGTTATGCACGATGGTATTTATAGTTACGATTTTAATGGCTTTATATATTCCATCAAGTAGATACAACCTGAATTAACAATTTCCCCAAATAACATTTAGATTGCTTCAGTTTTTCAATATTATAAAACAAACATTTATTTCTAGTTTTTTCCTTCTTTTAGATTATTTCCCTTCTGAAATAGGATTACTGTGTCAAAAGATACATTTTCATGGCTTCTAGAAGTTTTGTTGACTCTGCCATATAGTTGTCTTCTTCTTAACAACCTTTAGAGTTGTTTTTACACACTTTCTGTCTGTCAGCCATTTGAAGTACCTAAAGTCTAATAAATCAGGTTAGTGCTCAAAATCTTTTCTGTATAGAAGCATGCACACTCTGTAACACAGTAGTCTTTTACCTTTTTGGTCCACAGACCCCTTTGAAAATTTAATGAAAGTAAGCTACTTCTCAGAAAAAATACACGCAGAAACATTTTAAGAATCCTTTGATCATAAAGGTGACATACTCATGTTAATGTGACAGAAAGTCAGCTGGGGCAATAAGTCATAATAGCTAATCTTTGTTAACACAGAATCTGCTGCTTTTCTAGTCTAAGCTTCTCAGTTACATGTGTTTACTCATGAAGTTCCACTGTGTGCTTAGCAGGGAATTTCCCATTTTCAGAGAGATCACAGTATTAAGAATATCTTAATAAACACTATAGACAAGAATATTGTGTTTCTCTTTCCCAGTGAACATTTCTAGAGAGCAGTAGATTCAATTATCAACCCGAATTCCTTCCTCATTGTAAAAGGGAGAGAGAGAAGTAAAGAAATAACTAATATAGTTTTTTGTTGCTGTCTTTTGCTTTTCCCAGCCATCTGTGAAGCTCTTCATTGATGGGAAATTTGTTGAATCCAAAAGTGACAAATGGACTGATATCCACAACCCAGTAAGCAAAGCTGCTTTGGGACTAAACTGACTACCCAAGAATTCTGGGAACACGGTGGGAAAGTGGGGACCTGAGTATCTATCATGAAGCACATAGTACTGCCTCCGTGACTAGATGAAAAATGGAGAAGGTGGGGCAAGGGCAGAGGATCATGTGCTGCTTTTTCCCATCAGGCCACCAATGAGGTTATTGGTCGGGTCCCTGAGGCCACCAAGGCTGAAATGGATGCGGCTGTTGCTTCCTGCAAACGTGCTTTTCCTGCATGGGCAGACACGTCAGTATTAAGCCGTCAGCAGGTCCTGCTCCGCTATCAACAGCTTATTAAAGAAAATTTGGTAAGAAATCTAATGGTATAATTTTCCAAACTGTTGCCTAGGGAATACTTGTCACTCCCACAGAGGCCCTTTTAGCTGCCCTCCACAACTCAGCAATCGAGAGGCATAGATCATGGCTCTCTCCCTTGTGCTACTTCTCCCCAAGTTTTGTTCTTCCTTGGCTGCCTGAGAACTAAAAGGAGGCACATCCTTGCATTGGTTTCTATTTGTGTGTTTTCTCTCTAGAAAGAAATTGCCAGGGTAATCACGCTGGAACAAGGGAAGACCCTAGCTGATGCCGAAGGAGATGTATTTCGAGGCCTTCGTAAGCTGGGAATCCCTCATGGGGAGTTCAGGGACCTTTGGGAAGGAGCAAAGGAAGATGGAAGGCAAAGATCCTAGAATGAGGATTGCTTCTTCTTTTATGTAGATTTTGCTATCCCATGATATCTTTTTTAATACTTGTGGAAAATGGCAATACTTCTCAGGTATCTATGAGATTGGTTTACTTCATTATTTTACTTGAATGATCTTCTAGTAGGTATATGCATTTCACTGTCTTTTTCCCATTCAGAGAATCTCATTTTGCACAACCGCTTCATATGGAAGGGCAAATGAGTGTTTCTTCCCTCTGTCACTGGCCTGAGCTACTCCCTGTCCTCAGAGCTGATTAGAGCATGACAAAGCTAAGTATAGTCATGCTCCACATGACAATGTTACAGTCAATGATGCATATATGATGGTGGTCCCATAAGATTAGTACCCTGTAGTCTAGGTGTGTAGCAGGCTATACCATCCAGGTTTGTGTAAGTACATTCTATGATATTCACACAATGACGAAATCACCTAACACATTTCTCAGAATGTATCCCCATTGTTAAGCAACGTTATGACTGTAGTGCAGAGTGTGGAGGGCTGATGGCCTGATTGCCTCTTCTCTGTTCCAGAGGTGGTTGAACACGCCTGCAGTGTGACATCCCTGATTCTGGGAGAGACCATGCCATCCATCACCAAAGACATGGACCTTTATTCCTACCGTCTGCCTCTGGGGGTGTGTGCAGGAATTGCTCCATTCAATTTTCCTGCCATGATCCCCCTGTGGATGTTTCCCATGGCCATGGTGTGTGGAAATACCTTCCTAATGAAACCATCAGAGCGAGTTCCTGGAGCAACTATGCTTCTTGCCAAGTTGCTCCAGGACTCTGGTGCCCCTGATGGAACACTGAATGTCATACACGGACAACGTGAAGGTAAATGTGGCACGTAATCTGGCTACCAAAAAATCAAGGTGTTGAGTGGTGATGGGTGTTTTAGGATGAGGAACCTAGGGAGGAAGGGATTTACTAATAGTAACCTCCACGTTTGAAAGTAATGTTTGTTGACTGTTTTGCCATCTTTGTGTGCTAAGGTAAAACTTAGCTGGGGAGTAGCATGCATCTTGCCCTACAGAATATATTGGGACAAATAAATATGGATTAGGGCAAGACACAGATGAGAATAAAGAGAAAATTTTCACTTCAATATTGAGAGAATTTATGAGGATATTTAACTCAGAGAATATATAGACTTGAAGAACTTCTAATTTATATAATAATAGCTAATACTTAAAAAGCGCTTCTGTGTTTCGGGCACTGTTCCTAATGCCTTTCATATATCATCTCATTTAATCTTTACAACAACCCTTTGAGGCAGGTACTATTATTTTTTCATTTTACAGATAAGAAAATTGAGGCATAATACAATTAAGTAATTTGCCCAAAGTTACACTGCTAGAAACTGTCAAAAGCCAGAATGTGTGTAACCATGAAGGCTGACCCTGGTTTTTACTTTTAAATACTATGCTATATTGCCTCTCACATGAGGGCACAATAGTATCTGAGAGTCCCAGTATATAGTGACAGGTGAGAAAATATCACATTCCTAAAGGACAAAAGGAAAAGTTGAGTATTGAAATGCTGTTATTTTGGAGGAAAACTTCTCATTCATACCAGTGGGAAAAGGGGAGATGTGCCATGTTGAGAAGCCTGTAGCCATTTGTTCTTTTGTGTGATCGTTTATTTTCTTCTTAAAGCTGTAAACTTTATTTGTGATCATCCGGATATCAAAGCAATCAGCTTTGTGGGATCCAACCAGGCAGGAGAGTACATCTTCGAGAGAGGGTCAAGACATGGCAAGAGAGTTCAAGCAAATATGGTGATTTCTTATTCCTTTTTCCCCAAACTCCATGTATTAAAATTACCTAGAAACAGCCCTTCAGCACAGAGGGCACTCATCCCACTCTAATGCCATCGTTTCTTTATTCCCATTTCATCCTGAATGTCTTCTCTTTAACCATGAACCTTATGACAAGTTTTATTCTAAGGCTCTTTAGTTACCTTTTATCTTATACAACTAATCTTGGTGACAAAGGGCACATTTCTCTCTAAGAATGTTATTCAAATTCTTTGGGCTTTAGCAGTAACAGCTGAATTCTGGTTGTGGTGTTTATTCCTTCAGACCATACTTCTTGCCCTTTATCCTTCCTTCTTTTGAGGCATATCCTAAATACTAATGTCAAAGATACGATCTTCCCTAAGAATCCAGGCTATTTAAGGCACTGGAAGGAGCCAAATATCCCTGTAAGAAATGTGAGTGTGGTTTACTTGGTCAGATAGTTTTGCTGTTCTCTTACTAGCTCCTTGCCAAATGCTTAGCAATTCTTTAATACTAAATATAAAGTCCAGTTGCCGCTTTCTCATCATTTGGCTAATGTTGCAGAAAGGATAGCCTCCCATGCACAGGCTTGGAAACTATTCATGAAGTGCCCACTTACTTCTTTTCATGGCTGAATGTGTTTTGGCCAATTTGACGTAAGTCCTTCCCAGTTCACTATGTAGTTATTGAGTGTATTCTGTGTCTAATAGTATATTATGTGTAATGGGATAAAATTAAGTAGTAGACTTGGTTCTATCCATGCACTCAACTACAGTTGTATCTGGAAACATGTGGAAATGATCATATGTTATCCTCCATAGAAAAGAAGTTTATGAGGCTATGTATCTAGAAGTATCTAGAAGCAAGCCAGTTTGGAGAATCTCTTTCCAGAAATTGTGTGTCAGGAGACCTACCTCCTGTTTTGCCTTTCAGCTGGCTACTGGCATTATTACTGGCAGCTCTTTGTTTACATTGCTCTTCATATAACTGGAAACCCCAGCAGAGAACAGATTCTTTCCTGTCTGACTTGGGAAAGATAAGGGAGTGCTCCTTGGTTCCTGGATGCAGTGTTTTTAGCCTGTCACTTTGACTGAATGTGATTGGGGCATTTTTGGTAATGGTTTTGATGTAAATTAACACATATCAGCTTATCAGCTGAGAAAGTAAAAGAAAAAAGTAACCTGGAGTTGCTTACTATTACCAAGACTTCAGCAATATCAAAATGATAATCTATCCTCAAAACAATAAAGGATAAATTCTCTAGTCCTTTCCTTAAATTCTCAGGTTTCCTTGAAATCTCAAATTCTTTGCATAATTTCTTAGCCTAATTATATATTGCCAAGGAAGATCCATGTACTTTCTGTATTTCCTTAGGGAGCCAAGAACCATGGGGTAGTCATGCCAGATGCCAATAAGGAGAATACCCTGAATCAGCTGGTTGGGGCAGCATTTGGAGCTGCTGGTCAGCGCTGCATGGCTCTTTCAACAGCGATCCTTGTGGGAGAAGCTAAGAAGTGGCTGCCAGAGCTGGTGGAGCGTGCCAAAAATCTGAGAGTCAATGCAGGTAATCAGTTACTTGCCTAGCTCCTTTAGACTTGGTTTTACCATTGGCCTTAGCCAACGGGACCGATTATGTCTATTTTTACCATTGCTTCTCTTTATACTGTACTTGTCATTTGGATTCAACTTTAGTTAGCAGTCATAATATATGTTAATGAAGACCTTAAATACTTCTGTGTTGTTTTACAGGAGACCAGCCTGGAGCTGATCTTGGCCCTCTGATCACTCCCCAGGCCAAAGAGCGAGTCTGTAATCTGATTGATAGTGGAACAAAGGAGGGAGCTTCCATCCTTCTTGATGGTCGAAAAATTAAAGTCAAAGGCTATGAAAATGGCAACTTTGTTGGACCAACCATCATCTCAAATGTCAAGGTGAACAACTCTGAATTATTTATTTCACAAATACAAGAGCTAGAGGCACCTTAGAAGCTATGGAATCTCATCCCTCCAGTTTATAAATGAAGACATTTAATGACTAGAGACCTCATCTCTTGCCAGGATAACTCAGTTATTTTATGTGGAGTCTGAATGAACCTCCCCTCCTGACTCCCAACCTCTTCCCACTATAGCAGTAGTCAGCAAGCTTTCCCTAAAGGGCTAGATGGTAAATATTTTCAGCTTTGCAGGGATATACTCTCTCTGTTGCAACTACTCAACTCGACATTTTAGTGTGAAAGCAGCCATTGACACTGTGGCTGTGTTCCAATAAAACTTTATTTAAAAAAACACAGAAACCAATGGTTTCTGTGTGTGGGTTGTACAAAAACAGGCAGCAAGCTGCCTTTGGCCCATGCACCATATTTTGCCAACCCCATCTTATATTATACTTGTTACTTATTTGTTCAATGTTAATTTTTTCTTCCTGCTCCTTCTTACTGCTTAGCTTATAGCTATTGCAGTGTCTCCATCAACATATCAACCACTCAGTATCTATTGAGTACCTACTCTGTGCCCAAAATTCAGCTGCATCTTCACCAGAAAGTGATGAAAGGAAAATAATTGATCTGTCAGTTTTTATTTATCAAAACTCTACAAGTCTCTCAGCTAAAATTAATGACTAAGTTGAAGTTATGAGGCTTTTTTTTGAAATTCTGATGCCCCCATTAATCCTACTGTAATCCTGAATAATCAAGAGGTGAATGTAAGAGTAGTAGAAATTATGAAATCTCTTGCCACAGAACCAAAGAGGAAAAATCCACTTATCAGCAACAAACACAGCTTACTAGCTATGGTGGTAAAGGATGTTTTGAATGTTTACTATGACCTGATATCAAAATATAAATGTATAGACTCATTGGGACGCAATGGAGTGAATGAGAATGGATTTTTTTTATGTTACAGAAAACTTAGCATAGGGTTTCTTTCAACAGAAAAATTCTCCTGTGATGGTTTTAATATATATTTGATTTATAAAAAAATGAATTTGCATGTAACATTTCAGTAACATAACAATTGTAAAACAAGTTATACAGGTATAAAAGAGGAAGCTAGTGATGGGTCCTGGGACCTAAAAATACAGAGCTTTAGGAAAGGAGTGTAGTTGTAGTTAATAGGAGTTTTAAGTTGTTTATATGACTGACAGCTTGGAAGATGGAACACAGCAAGAAAGGACTTTTTTTTTTATAATAGGTGGCTTAAAATGAAAAGAGATTACTAACATGAGAGCTATCCATGTAAACAGTGGGTAATGAAGTACCAAGTAAGCATACAATACTGACTTCTTTTCCGGATGCATCACTCCTCGCAGCCAAATATGACCTGTTACAAAGAGGAGATTTTTGGTCCAGTTCTTGTGGTTCTGGAGACAGACACTTTGGATGAAGCTATCAAGATTGTAAATGACAACCCATATGGAAATGGAACTGCCATCTTCACCACCAATGGAGCCACTGCTCGGAAATATTCCCACCTGGTGGATGTCGGACAGGTTTGTGAACAGAAGTTTTAGGAGATTCTTGTAGCCATTTACTGTTTCCTCTCTAAGGGGAAACAGTAAACACTGATCAGTCGCTGCCCCTCTGATCTCCCACAATGTCCCATTTCTTCCTCAGGAATAAAAGTTCATGGGATGGAGGATGGGGTGGAAGGTGGATATTTAAAATTGGTCTCTCTGATGCCAAGCATTTGTGCTTCTAAATGGAGAGCTGCTTTGAGTCCTTTTCTTAGTATTTGACGTGGATTTGTTCTGCTTTAGGTGGGTGTGAATGTCCCCATTCCAGTGCCTTTACCAATGTTCTCATTCAGTGGCTCTCGATCTTCCTTCAGGGGAGACACCAATTTCTATGGCAAACAGGTAACTAAGTTTAAAAAAACTTTTTTGAACATATTCAGGAACAAATATTCTGCACAAAAGGGCCTGCCAGCAGCTTCTATGGGGTCATATGTTGTTAAGCAGTGCTTGTCAGTAGGTCCCCTAGAAAAGATTTAAAAGTTAACAAAATTTTGCCAAAGCTGCTGCTTCTTGAAGGCAACAAAGTTTTGGAAAAAGAGCATCAGAAAGTACAAACCTTTGTATATGCCCTTTCCTCTGCCTGTGACCCTCTTTCTTCCTCCTCCCTTTCATCTGACTAACTCTTAATCACCTGTCATGGCTCAGTTTAAAGAATGGACTCCTCCAGAAAAGCACCTGTGACCATCACCAGCCCTTCCTCAGTGCAGTGTTGGGTATGCCCTCGTGTGCTACCATTGCACGTATTTCTCCTGTAATAGTTACTCATTTACAAAAAACTTTATTGAGCACCTTCTGTCTACCAAACACTAGTTTAGGCACTATAAATGCAGCACTGAGCAAGAAAAATAAAGCAGTTCTGGAACGAAATTGCCTGGGTTCAAATCCCAGTTCAGCCAGTTATTAACTGTGTGACCTTGGGGGATACCCTCTCTATGTCTCAAGTTTCTTCATCTGTAAAATAACAACAATAACAGTACCTATATTTTCCAAGATTATGAGGATTAAATTACCACAATCTTCAGCAGGTGCATATGTCCTAAGGCAGGAACAGGCATGGCATGTTCAAAAAGCAGAAATGGGCTGGAGCACAATGAGTGAATGAGGAAGAGACTGGTAAGAGATAAGGTTAGAGAGGTAGGCAGGGGCAAGTCATTTGGCTCTTTAAGCCATGTTATGAAGCCGTCTTACCCACTAGGCCACACTGTAAACATTAGTTACTTACCTGCAGTACCTGGCACAGAGCAGGCACCTAAACACGTGTTCACCAAATGAGCTAGTGGAAGTTCTTTGTAGTCCCACGGAAATACAGCTATTTTGGAACCTTCAGTACTAAATTACATGTTTTCTATACATGTTTTATAGGTTAATAAAAAATTAACAGTGGGATTGCACAGCAGAATGTGACAGTGTGGCCAAGTGGTTAAGAAAACACTTTGGTTATTTGGAGGCTGATTATCCAGTTTCTACATTAGTCACAGCTTTTTCAAAATTGATTAATCTGATACTATTAACAAAAATTTCTTTCAAAGGAAGCAGAGTAAAACTATTGCTTAAAATATTTTTGGGTTTTTTTCCTCCTTTATTCTCCACTGGCTTGGTTTAATTACTGTAAGTTACTCTGGTAAGTGAGGCTTCTTGGAGGAAAAGACTGACCTCATATACAGTTCAAGTCTTAAATCCTTAGGTAATTAAATTGCTATTTTGTATTCTGGAAAGAAGACACGAAAGTATCACTCTGACATGATAAAATATAAACTTTAGTTGTATCTTATATTGAAAGTATGTAATAAACTCTCGTTGTTTTCAATATATTAACATGACCCAGATTTTGTCAAATATTCTAGAAGAGTATTTTAATCAAGCCAATGTGTTTTTTCCTAATAATATCTTTCTAGCTTGCAAGTAATTTTATGAGTTAGGTCTGCACAGTCTATTCTCTTTTGTTCAAGCCCATTCTTATAAAATAAACTATGTATATGGTAAAGCCTTAAATATGCTGAATTTTTTTGGCTCACATCTTATAGGTGATTTAGACGTGAATGTGTATAATAGCAGATGTTTTATTTTAGATTTGTAAGATATGTGGATTTTACTACTTCGGTATAGAGTTGTTTATCACTGACAGTTGTCAGAAATGGCCTGATATATGTTTCATCCCTTCACTTGTTTTTCTTCTTCATGGGAAGGTGAGAAAAAACTAGCAATTATTGACCAGCAGTTACTTTGCCGGGATGTTTGCATTCATTTCATTTTCCCCTCATACATTGCTGTAAGGTGCGCATTAAGTCACAGATAAGGCCCAAGGTTAAACGGCAGTCAATAAAGAGTAGAGGCAGGATTTGAGCCGTGTCTCAAGACCTCAGAGCACATGATATTCAGCTCTAGGAACAGAATTACCTACAAGTTTAACAGATTACATTGTTCAATTTTTCCATTTAGGTGCTCTTGGCTAGTTTCAGCATAATGATGGCTAAGGTTTGTTTACTATGTGCCAGGTACTATGCTAAATGTTTTACATAGATTAGATTATCTCATGAACAATTATATTGGATTATGGTTGCACCTATTCCTCAAGTAGGAATGTGAGTAGCACTTAGCAGCCCCTCCTTCAAAAGTTGATTAAAAGAGGAATCATGAACTCCCCAGAAACATATGCTAACTCCCTGTCTCTTGCTCTTTCTTTTTTCCTTTGTTCTCTTTAGGGCATCCAATTCTACACTCAGCTAAAGACCATCACTTCTCAGTGGAAAGAAGAAGATGCTACTCTTTCCTCACCTGCTGTAGTCATGCCTACCATGGGCCGTTAGAAACAAGTTTGTTCCAAACTCAGTCCATCCTAACTAATCTCCCTTTATTCTTGACCAACTTCATTTGCTTTGTATGAAACTTTGTTCAGATTAGATCCCCGGGAATGGAATACCTGTAACTAAAATCTTTCTCAGGACCATTAGCCTCTGCAAAGTTCCTATAGGGAGACTCCTAGTGTAACTCTGAAAGCAGATTTTCACTTGCTCTTCATACGTCTACTTTTGAGATAACTGTTGTAACTGTGAAGTGCTTATCTCGAATGAAAGCTTAGACCCATTTTCTAAAAATTCTCCCCTTTTCTGATGACTTGAAGGAAGGGAAGATTAGTGTATGTAAAGATGATCTTCTGGGGGCTGGCCCCGTGGCCGAGTGGTTAAGTTCATGGACTCTACTTCGGTGGCCCAGGATTTTGCCAGTTCGAATCCTGGGCGTGGACATGGCACCTCTCATCAAGCCATGCTGAGGTGGCATCCCACATGCCACAACTAGAAGGACTCACAACTGAAATACACAACTATGTACCAGGGGCTTTGGGAGAAAAAGGAAAAATTAAATCTTAAAAAAAAAAAAGATTATCTTCCAATAATTGGAAGATGACCTCTCAGATGGGGAAATCAGACAGAAATAATCCACCCTTTGGTTGATCCTCAGTCAGAGCCCTTATGTAAATGCTGGTAGGGGAGACCCCTTTGTCAGGCTTTCCTGAGCCTCTCATTTATCCCACACTACACAAGATATAATCCATTTCTACTTATCCCACAATTGTGACAACTGCTTCTTTCTTTTCTGCTGAATACTACTTTGTTCTAGTGATTCATGACCACTAACTCTATCATTGTCATTGTTCCTGCTTCTTAAAATCACTTCTCAAGGATACCTCAGTATGCACTGGATAAATCATCTTTTTGTTGCGTGTGCCAAGTGTTAAATTTCAGGGTTTGCTTCAGCAATCATTAATTAATGCTTCAGTCAGTACTTCAGATGCCAATAGGTTTTCCTTAGAAAACCATTTCAAAAGTTATTTTAGGCCCAGAAATCAAGGGATTGTTCTAACTATGAAAGTGGGGAAGACTCTTGCCTTAAGCAAGTCCCACCTGATACTACTTGCCAAACTTTTTATTTTGTTCTTTCCTCTTGCCTGCATTTCTCACTAGTGATATGTTTTAATGAAAGAACCCTTAGTGTAAAGTAACTGGCTGGGGCCTAAGAAATTTGAAAGCTTTGCATGACATAAAATAGTAAAAAAAGAGAGGCTTTGACAGATTCTTCTGCTACCATTAATTCAACTGTCTTTATGCTTTTTGTCTCTTTGATATAGCTAAATTTTAAGTCAGAACAGAAATTGACGTGCAGAATAGATTCTGTCTTTTTGCTCTGCCATCCCAATTGAATCCTGTCTTTTTGATATGGTTTTCACCCAGCAAACTGGCTCTGATCGAGCAATCTCTGGTCTTCAGCCAGATGACATAGGTCATTTATTTTTCTACTTCCTTGTTAATCACGTGGATAATGTTAACCTACTTCACGGGGGTTATTCGGTGAATTAAAGATAGTGAAAACCTTGAAAATGTTTGTGCCTCTGGATTTTAGGCTTATTACTACCACCTGCTGGATAGAATGTCAAAATCTTCAATCACTTAAGGTGACTAGATCTGTAATAAAATACATTTAAGACCCCTCAGGGTCTTTTCTCGGGGAGGGGGATTTGCCTTCCTAAAGCTGAGGCAATAGAAATTTATAATTTGATGATAGAATGCCCCTTGATTTATATCACAGCTGGCAACTGGTAGTGATATTTAATCCAATCCAACAACTACAGGCTGGGTTGAATAAAAGGTCATATTGTCTAAATTCCAAGTGGAATTAAATATAATCACAGAGACTCCTAAGTTTTCCTTACATTTAAGGGAAATCACTTGTTTAAAAATAGTAACTAATCAGAATTGCATTACTCTAATTGGAATCAACTCCTTTGGCTAGCTACTTGCTACTCAGAAGAGTTTCTTGTTTCTCAGATGGAAAAAAATCTGTACAGTTAGGTTCATGCTAGTAGCAGCTAAAAAGTTCAGTATTTTATTTTCTTTTTGCTCTGATGTGGCCTCGTTAGAAATTTCTCAGATTCTACATTGTACTAAGTGATTATGAATAACAAATTACAAATAAAAAGCTCTTAAAAAGAAAACTTGGCTTTTTTTTTTTAATGGTGCCATACTCCTTATAATGCCTTTGCCCCCTAGCTTATAGTGACTCAGACTTCCCAGCTCCGTCCAATGCCAAGAGTTACTTGGTCATTATGTTTATTCTTACATAAAGATAGTACATATTTTGACTAGGCAGCATATTTCAAAAGGCAATTTATAGGTTTGCCACACAGTACAAATACACATTTGCATCAAGCATAATATGCCTTCCTTACTGTGAATATAGTTATAAAAATGTCCATGATCTCATACTAGTGTTATACTCATTTCACTGATCCCTGAAGAGCTCCTAGATAGAGAAAAGAACTGTGACTCAGCAAGAAGCTGCATATGGAAACGTAACAGTTACATGTATTGTTTGGGTAGACTACAGACTCCTTACCATGTCAGACTCTTGTGATCCTTTCTGAATGTTGGGTATCGTCAGTTCACCAGAAGAGTCTGAGACTGGCACTTGCTGGGTGATGAAGGTTTGATCTTGAAGCTTACATTCATCCCTGCAATAATGACAAAGTAACAAGCCTGTCAATAACCACACACACATGGAACTTGGTTCAGAACAATGGACTTAATTCTAGCACATATAAGATGTCCACAAGGAGCACTGTGATCAGGCTCATGTTCATTACTTTGTCAAGGGAAACCTTACCCACATTCCTCTGTTTCTCCATTGTCAGGAACAACATAGTCTGGAACTGGAGGCCTAGAACTCTGGCTGTATTTCCTGTGGTGGGTAAAAATTTAACAATGAGGCAGTATCTCCTTGTGCCCTGTATTTCAACTACACTTTTAAAGTACTAAATGAAATGCTTCTGTTGGATGGGCTTCTTATTTTCAAAAATGAGCTTTTACACACTCAATAGGCAGTATAATGTTAGGCAAGTTAATATAAACATATTCTCTTAAAGTTGAGACATTGAATTTAAGAAACAGAAACATTTATGGAGATGATCATGATGATACACAACAGCTATTAATTTAGGTGATGGGCAAGGTTGAACCTGAGTACTGACCAAAATATGGCCAGAAGAATTCCCTTCCCACAAAAAGAACCTTAGAACACAGACAGGTTACCCAATGGAGATTGACTCAGTATGAAAATTTCTCCTTATACTTTGAAAAGTCCGATTTAAGAGCAGGAAATAAACATATCACCAATTCAATATTCTAATTGGAAAGTGAGCTTACCAGAGTTATAAAAAGTACACAAGGTTGATTTGCCAGCAGATAAAGACACATACTTCATTCCTAAAACTTCTCAATTAGATACATATGAAAGCAGCATAAACCCATTCAAAATCTGGCTATATTTAATAGTCTAATGATGCATTGGAAAAAAATGTACTTTAGATACTACTAGTGCCTGAGTTATAGCCAGAGTGGTTGCTGATGCACTAAAGAGTACAGTTTATTGGTTATACTCCTTAGACTTAGTTTAATCACAAAGAAAAATATTGTACTGTTGGATTCACAATCACATACAATCAACTGAACTCTTACCAACTTCCTAACTACTCCAGTTACCTTGGAAGAACTTTTATCATCTAATTCTTCCCCAGTCTGATTTGAGCTCTCTCATTTAATCTCATCTTCATTTCAACATTTCACTATTCTATTCCTATCTTATCCTATCCTAACTTTATCTAGCCCTAGCATGAGATTCCAACAGGCTCAGACATCCTTCCATTGTGGCCAAGTTCAAGTTCATTGCTTTGGTGTGAAAGATTTCACTCAAATTCCTTTGTTTCTTCAGTGTTGAAAACAACACAGTGTGGAACTTGAGGCCTGTAACTGTGCTGTACTCTCCGGGATACAGAAAAGTTAATTCCCAATAAGAAAGACATTCAGTGCCTACAGTCCGATTCTACCTCCACCTCTTTAATAAAATTCTGGAAAGCTAACAGACCCAAAGGCATTTCAAAGTCCCCCATCTTTCATTTAGCCTATAATTCTTTAAACTCTTCTCATTTCGTTGTACTCTCCTTTGTTCCCCTGTTCATTAATTGTGGTTATTCCTAAAGGTTCTAGCCTTGACCCTTTACTCGTCTACCTTCATCCACTCTCCGAAATTCAACTACCAATTTTCACTAAAGGAGCTCAAATCTCACTCCCTAAGCTCTCATCTGTACTCCAATCACTATTTACAAATACTTTAAGTATTTTCACTTCAATATGTTGCCATCATCTCCAAATCAACTCTGAAAATACTACTTTCTATTTCTTCTGCCTAGAAAGTTTTTCTTCCCCTCTTTTTCTTCTTATTTACCCTTTAGAGATCAGCTCAACCTTTTACTTCCTCAGAAACTTTCCTGATCTCCTCAGTCAGGTCAGATTCCCCTAAAGTAGGCCCTATTACCACTATATGACACTCCTCTGAGCCTATGTCATAGTTGTACTTTTATATTAATTTGTGTGATGATTTGAATAATGTTTTTCTTCCCGGTAAACTCCCTGAGATTAGGAATGATGTCTTTATTTTCTCAACAATATATCCTCAATAAATAGTAGGCACTCAATATGTGTATGTTAAATGAATTAGTGGATGGATTAAATAAAATTTAAACTTTTCCCTCACACTGGCTTTCCAGATTTTTCATTTGTCTTTCATACTACCATTCTATCATTTCTTAAGCTAAAAAGCTTAAACATTTACTCTCTTTTCTTTATTCCTTTTGTCCTGTTTCTCCTTTATTCCAAGTCCTGTTTCTCCTTCCTAAGTGCCTCTCAGTTTCTCCCCTGTATTCTGACTGCTCCCACTCTTGCCTAAATCCCTCACCACCGCATGCCCAGAGTAGTGCAGCAGCTTCTGCTGGTCCCCAACTCTATTTTTGTCCTCCAATCCATCATACATGTCACTGTGTTAGGTTAAGGTCAGCTCTGAGAACAATGACCTGTGAACCCTTCCAGTGAGAGAGTATGGCTTATTGCTCCTTGTATTCCTGCAAGGCAGAGAAGAAAGGTATGCTACACTACTCTAGAATCTACTAGCATAAGTTCGGGCTTTTCTGCATGGTTTTTAAGTCTCATCATAATTTAACCATATGAATTACATTTTATTTCTAATTGCTAATTACTAATTACTCTCTGGCATCACCAAATTTCCTCAAGCCAGGCAGTTTTTCCTCAATATTTCCTAAATACCCCACACCCATTCCTACCTCTGGGCGTTGGTTGTGCTGTTGACTAAGCACCTTGCCTGATGTGCCCTCCTCCCTCTCTCTACTCTCCTACTATCCTACAAGGCACCCCACAGAGTCACACTCTTTCAGTCTTACCTGGCTACTCTAGCCCATTAACATACTGTCTGACTCCAATTATACTTTATCTTGTGGCCTAATTTTTTTCCTTGTTATGTTTGGTTTTGTTTGGGCAACAAGATTGTAAGCTCTCTGAGATCAAAGGCAATATCTCTTAATTCTTTGAATCCCCATAGTACCTAACGTAGTACCAAGCACATGACAATCAATAAGTGGTTGATTTATTTTAGCCACTTTATAGTTTATTACCAGTGTTACAGTCCCTGATAAAACACAGTAGAGAAAAAAAGTGAAACTAATCATTACAAAGAACTATCTGGAATATCTGTGGATTTCTTTTCCTTTCCAGGTCTTTTTCCTGGTATTAGAGATTCTCTTGATTAATAATCAGCTTAACAATCATTTACTTATCTTTGCAGACCAACAAAATCTTAACAATTGTTAAGCTTCTCAGTTACCATTCATTTAGCTAAGCAATGTTGTACCTTCTTAGCAAAGCATTACCTTAAACATCTAAGATTAATCTTCTCTTTTCTCCTCCCTTTAATTTTAATTTATCTTTCACTTTTGTTCTCATTCATTCATCTCCCATTCTTTCTCTCTGGGAATTGCAGTAGCTAAGCAGTACAACCCTTGTATTTTCTGGTCCTTTCCCATTTCTTTAATTCTAAGTGAGAATAAGTTCATTGTTCCTACATGGTTTCCGGGTTTGATAACAATTTGGTATTTCACCACAAAAACAGGGAGTTACCTAGGAACAAAACCATTCATTTTTGCAAAGAGCAATCTCAAGACTTTCTCCTTCTGCTCCCAGGTCAAATCTCTAATATCCACATTTCCTTGAATATCTGTCCTGGAAAATTTCCAAGAAAAAAAAAGAAAAGGAAAAATATGGTCAAAGTAAGCATCTCTTGTTTTTAAAAAAATACAAAATATGTAAACATGAGAAATTTCCAAACCATAACTGAATATTATGAGGTTTCCAAATGTAATGACTACAAAACAAACTGTGTCCATTACAAAATCATAAAGTTGAAAAGGATATCAGTTTGCTAGCCAATCTGAAATGTTATGTAGTCATTAAAATGAAAATAAGAGAAACTATAACATGAAAAAAATTTTTGCTCAAATATTAAGCAATTAAGCAAAATAGAAAGTTGCAATATAACATTATGTATCCAGACACAAAGAAGGAACAAGAAAAAAACAGTTGTTTGGTGAGATTATTGATAAATTCCTTTAACATTTCTTTTTGTATTAGATATTTTGCTATGAAAATAGAGTAACAAAAGGTAAATTAAGAAGATAACATATAATTTATATAGTCTATTTTCTTACCTCCAACTAAGGCTGCAGCTAAGCTTTCCAGGCAGGTCTTTATCTATACTATAACTTTCCCAAAGGATTTATAGTCTACTTGCTATTTACAAAAGCTGGCTGACATACAGATAGCGTATCGATGTTGTATAATGTAAGAAATATTTTTGTGGGGGCCAGCCCAGTGGCGCAGCGGTTAAGTTTGCAGGTTCTGCTTCTTGGCAGCCCGGGGTTCACTGGTTCAGATCCCGGGTATGGACATGGCACACTTGGCACACCATGCTGTGGTAGGCGTTCCACATATAAAGTAGAGGAAGATGGGCAGGGATGTTAGCTCAGGGCCAGGCTTCCTCAGCAAAAAGAGAAGGACTGGCAGTAGTTAGCTCAGGGCTAATCTTCCTCAAAAACAAAAAAAAAAGGAAAAGAAAATAATATTTTTGCATATAGGTCACCTGAGTTAGTTTTCTTTAAAAGTTTAGGTTTTGCCTTATGATCACCATATGCTTCAAATGTCCTTCCCCAATCTGCCTCTTAAGCAGATGACATATATTTTAACCATCAGCTCTGCCTTGCTGGTAGAGGCAATAGGAAACTGAGGTTAAGGTGATAAGTTTCTCAGTAGCAAAAATGTCACACAGAAGGCAGAATAGGAAGAGTCCAATTTCTGCAATGACAATGTGGAGAATCATTTTATGTCCTGTCCTCTGAAAATTTATATATCACTTAATATGCATTAGATAAAAAAGTGTAAAAGAAACTGCCTTATGTATGGTAGGGACTCAACTTGCTTGACATTAAATAAAAAAGAGAAAATTACAGAGAATCTCTTGGTAATAGAAGTGTTATTACAGACTTCTGCATATGGCAAGAAGGTAAAAAAATTATAGTACAGGCATTTTTGAAGAAGAATCTTACCTTTCAGAAGACACTCACCTTCCCAACAGCTATATAATTTTTTAAAACCTACACCTTAGTCCATGAAAAATAATTTAAAGCAAAAAGCATATTTGGAGGCACTCTTAATAAGATGTTAAGTACACAGTAGTAGAGAGTCCTTTAAAATTTCTTGAGTTAAGGTCTTTGAAGAATCTAATTGCATTGGAATATAAAACATAATTTTTTTCAGAATAATCTTTAAAATGCACTATAATTTAATCTATGGTTTATAGGAGGAAGCCTAATAGACAAAATTGCTATTCTGGAAAGAAGTAATCATTATATATAGTCTAAACTGTCTCAAGCATTCTGTTGCCTTCATCATAGTGGCAGCAGATCTCTAGAGTATATTCTGGAAACTTGTGGGGGCTTTTGGTTAATACAGGGATGGAGGTGGACACTACTGGGTGTCCTCCAATCCACGGAACAGTTCTGTACAAGAAAGAACTGGTACAAAGAATTGTTATATTGATTTTTTAAATTATATGTTTAGTTAGCTATTATTATCTATGAATTTCATTTCAGAATAGTAAAGGGAACAACACAAAATATTTGTGAAATTATGCTTATCAAAAATGTTTAACTTGAATCTAATCAAACCTTTATAACTAATTTACAGGAAACAAAGGAACATGTTAAAAGATATTACAGTGACATTATATGGAACAAATAATCTGATCTCTTTAACAAGTCTCTGTCACAAACAAAAAGGGGGCATCTACTAAGAATTTGTACTAAGCTCCACACACTATGCAAAGCATAGGGGTTACCAAGATGAATAAGTCAGTTCCTGTCCTCAAGTAACTTACTGAGTAATCTATTCATTACTTGGACATTATCAAGCCGAACGATTCAGGGTTCTTATTTTTCTAAAGAGCAGAAAAATACAGCAGCACAAAAGATAAAATATTAAAGCGTTATTAGTACCATTTCTCAGCCTCCATAAGATCCTGATTCACACTATTGGTGCTGTGCTCTCTGCCATCAAATGTTCGGATTTTGGGATATTCTGTTCTTCCTGCACATGCCTCTCTCATTTTAAAGTTGAAAGCAGCTTGTGCTACCTGTTTATAATGTATCCTGCTAAATAGGATCTGTTGCTTCACTTGGTGGAGAGCATCTAAAAAGAAACTTTCCACTTCTGTTCTCTCATCCAGTATGTTCTTGGCCAGCTTCTTCACTCGATTCATTTCCCTGTCCTTCATCTGAAGAAGTTGCTGCAGCTTGTCAATTTCAACCTGACCCGCTTGGTTCTCTATCTCTGCTTGTTGCTGCAGTTTTAAAACTTCAGACTCAAACTCTCTGGTCATACAACTTAGGGCAGTCTCCAAGCTTACCACCTTCTTCTGAAGAGTTTGGATTTGTGATCTCTGCTGGGTAAGTTGCATAATCTTTTCCTTAACCAACAGATCATTGATCTCCTAAAAACAGAAAGATGACAGAAGTGAAAGGTTTTTTTCATTTAATCAGTTCCAGAACTTAAAAGTTCCTCACAGGGAAGCCTGGTGGCACAGCGGTTAAGTGTACACGTTCCACTTCAGCAGTCCGGGATTTGCCAGTTTGGATCCTGGGTGCAGACACGGCACTGCTTGGCAAGCCTTGCTGTGGCAGGCGTCCCACATATAAAGTAGAGGAAGATGGGCACGGATGTTAGCTCACGGCCAGTCTTCCTCAGCAAAAAGAGGAGGATTGGCAGCAGATGTTAGCTCAGGGCTAATCTTCCTCAAAAAAAAAACCAAACAAAAAAACTTCCTCACTAATTTCCATTACTTCATAAGATTTGAGTTGATGCCAGGTTGAGATAGTGATATTTTTTTCTCTTATTTATTTACTTTTTAATTTTATTTATTTATTTATTTGTTTGTTTGTTTGTTTTTTGAGGAAGATTAGCGCTAAGCTAAACCTCTTTTTGCTGAGGAAGACTGGCCCTGAGCTAACATCCGTGCCCACCTTCCTCTACTTTATATGTGGGACGCCTGCCACAGCATGCTTGCCAAGCGGTGCCATGTCCACACCTGGGATCTAAACCAGCAAACCCCCAGCCACTGAAGTGGAACATGCGAACTTAACCACTGTACCACAGGGCCGGCCCCAAGAGATGGTGATATTTTGATATTCTGTGTTTATGTAGAGAGAGTAAAAAACATCCTAGGGTCCTTTACTGGACTTGTGAGGACCACTGATTTTGCTAATTACGAAACTTTCCTTCCTCTAAAATTCTGAAAGTTTAAATGTTTTATATTATCAAAAGAGTAATTCCAAAATTAATGACTATGCACTAAAACATTAATTTAACAACTATATACTGGAAACTGGCACTCTGTTAGTTGCCTATCCCAATGTCAATTTTCCTTTTCTTCCTTAGTAATGAAATCCCAATTTTATTCAGTAAGGCAGTAAGTTCAGCTGAAAATTCCCAGTCTCCTTTGCAGTTCAGCATAGCTAGAAAACTAAGTTCTGGTCAATGAGATATAAGTAGAAATGTGTGTAGGACTTCCAGGAAGACCTCTAAAGGGAGCGGCATACATTTTTCCTTCTTGTCTTTCTTCTTTCCTGCTGTTTGAATAATGGTTAGAGCTCCAGCAGCTGCCATGGGCCATGAGGTGACTTTGAGGATTTAAGCCACATGTTGCAGAGTTAAGAAACCTGAGTGTCTGTTGACTTTGTGGCACTACCATTTGAGCTCTGGATTGCTTACCTCCACACTTCCTTTAGGTGAGCGAATAAACCCTTACATAGTGAGGCCATTATTGTCAGGGCTGTTACGCACAGCTGAACCTATTCCTATGGGATTCAGGGACCAAATCTAAGCAAAGAAAAATGAGTATTCTAAGGTATAGAGGATGGGAGTTATATTTATGTTTCTGGTATATTCTTTGCCAAGCCAATGCTTCTTATAAGTCATTCAGTAATTAATCTTTTCAGATAAGAAATGTACATCATCCAGACAGAAGAAAAATGGTCCCATTGTCTTTATGCATCATTATTATACTCAATTCTTAGTATTTACCAACCCAATCCTTAAAAAAAAAGATAAGAAACAAAGTGTAAATGAGAGTTGGAACCTTTTGATGTAACAGAAAATTCTGAGTCTCTTGCAACTTCTGGGAGTTTTTTTGTAGATCATCAGCTTCCTTTAGGTGGTATGCGAGAGCTTTCTGGAGATAAACATTCTCCTTAAAAACAGTTCTTCCAGCCTTGTTCAATTGCCTGAAATAGATAATAAGGTCTCAAAATACAGGCCTAATTTTTAGATATTACCAAACTAGAACAATGATTGCTTTATCTGTCGACATTAATGACAACCTGCAAGGTTGCTATTATTAACCTCGGGTTTTTTTATTATTATTATTATTTTTAAAGATTTTTTTTTTTTTCCTTTTTCTCCCCAAAGCCTCCCGGTACATAGTTGTATATTCTTTGTTGTGGGTCCTTCTAGTTGTGGCATGTGGGACGCTGCCTCAGCATGGTTTGATGAGCAGTGCCATGTCCACGCCCAGGATTCGAACCAACAAAACACTGGGCCGCCTGCAGTGGAGCACGCAAACTTAACCACTCGGCCACGGAGCCAGCCCCAATTATTATTTTTTTTATTGAGTTAATGATAGGTTACAATCTTGTGAAAATTCAGTTGTACATTAATGTTTGTCAGTCATGTCGTAGGTGCACCACTTCACACTTTGTGCCCACCCCCCACCCCACCTTTCCCCTGGTAACCACTAATCTGTTCTCTTTGTCCACATTTTTAAATTCCTCATATGAGTGGAGTCACACAGAGATTATCCTTCTCTAACTGGCTTATTTCACTTAACATAATTGCCTCAAGGTCCTTCCATTTTATTGCAAATGGAATGATTTTGTTCTGTTTTGCAGCTGAGTAGTATTCCATTATATATATGTACCACATATTCTTTATCCAGTCATCTGTTGATGGGCACTTAGGTTGCTTCCACATCTTGGCTATTGTAAATAATGCTGCAATGAACATTGGGGTGCATAGGACTTTTGGAATTGCTGACTTCAAGCTCTTTGGATAGATACCCAGTAGTGGAATAGCTGGGTCGTATGGTAGTTCTATTTTTAATTTTTTGAGGAATCTCCATACTGTTTTCCATAGTGGCTGCACCAATTTGCATTCCCACCAGCAGTGTATGAGGGTTCCTTTTCTCCACAACCTCTCCAACATTTGTTGCTATTAGTTTTAGATATTTTTGTCCTAATGGGTGTAAGGTGATATCTTAGTGTAGTTTTGATTTGCATTTCCCTGATGATCAGCGATGATGAACATCTTTTCATGTACCTATTGGCCATCCGTATATCTTCTTTGGAGAAATGTCTGTTCATGTCTCCAGCCCATTTTTTGATCAGGTTGTTTGATTTTCTGTTGTTGAGTTGTGAGAGTTCTTTATATATTATGGATATTAAGCCTTTGTCAGCTATATGACTTGCAAATATTTTTTCCCAGTTAGTGGGTTGTTTTTTTGTTTCAATCCTGTTTTCATTTGCCTTGAAGAAGCTCTTTAGTCTGATGAAGTCCCATTTGTTTATTCTTTCTATTGTTTCCCTTGTCTGAGAAGACATGATGTGCGAAAAGATCCTTTTAATACTGATGTCAAAGAGTGTACTGCCTACGTTTTCTTCTAGAAGCCGTATGGTTTCAGGTCTCACCTTTAGGTCTTTGATCCATTTTGAGTTTATTTTGGTGAATGGTGAAAAAGAATGGTCAATTTTCATTCTTTTACATGTGGCTTTCCAGTTTTCCCAGCACCATTTGTTGAAAAGACTTTCTTTTCTCCATTGTATGCCCTCAGCTCCTTTGTCGAAGATAAGCTGCCCATAGATGTGTGGTTTTATTTCTGGGCTTTCAATTCTGTGCCATTGATCTGTGCACCTGTTTTTGTACCAGTACCATGCTGTTTTGATTACTGTAGCTTTGTAGTATGTTTTGAAGTCAGGGATTGTGATGCCTCCTGTTTTGTTCTTTTTTCTCAGGATTGCTTTAGCACTTCGGGGTCTTTTGTTGCCCCATATGAATTTTAGGATTCTTTGTTCTAATTCTGTAAAGAATGTCATTGGGATTCTGATTGGGATGGCGTTGAATTTGTAGATTGCTTTAGGTAGAACGAACATTTTAACTATGTTTATTCTTCCAATCCATGTACATGGAATGTCTTTCCATCTCCTTATGTCATCATCCAATTCTCTCAGAAAGGCCTTGGAAT